TACTCTTCAACGAGAGCATCGCTAACATTGCAATATACGTCCACATTCCAGCTTTGATTGATATGGTACTTTTTAAAATGAAGAGAATGAAATATGAAATCGCTGTAATATGACAGTTGTCGTCCTTAGGCTATAAGGAATACATATACCAAGTTCAAAGACAATCCATTAAGAATCGTGGCCTGTAGGCAACACAGAGACACAAGGAAAAATGGGTGTGGCTCTGCCCCTGGGGATTGGGCAATCACCAAAAAACAATAGGGGGCATCCTTAGGGTATAAGAAATAGGTATGCAAAGTTTCAAAAGGATCTGTTAGGAATTGCGGCCTATAGGTGACACAAAAGACACACAAACATTGGGCATACACCAAAAATAATAGAGGTCAGCCTTAGGGTATAAGGAATAAGTATAAAAAAGTTTTCAAGACGATCGATTAAGCATTGCGGGCTGTAAGTGACATACAGACACACAAAAAGAAAACGGGCGTGACTCTGCCCCTGGGGGTTGGGCATTCACCACAAACAATAGGGGTGTTCCTTAAGATAGAAGGAATAAGTATGCAAAGTTTCAGGGTGATACGTTAAGAAATGCGGTCTGTAAATGACAAACAAATAAATACAAGAAATGGGCGTGGCTCTGCCACTGGGGGTCGGGCATGCACCAAAAACAATAGGGATCATCATTAGGGTATAAGGAATTCATATGAATTTTTTTCAAGACGATCGATTAAGAATTGTGGCCTGTAGGCAACACACACACACACAAAAAGAAAATGGGCGTGGCTCGGCCCCTTGGGGTGGGCATGCACCCCAAACGATATGGATGTTCCTTATGGTACAAAGAATAATTAGACAAGGTTTCAAGATGATACGTTAAGAAATGCGGTCTGTAGACGACAAACAAACAACTACAAGAAATGGGCGTGGCTCTGCCCCTGGGGGTCGGGCATGCACCAAAACAATAGGGATCATCTTTAGGGTATACGGAATAAGTATGTAAAGTTTCAAGATGACCACTTAAGAATTGTGGCGACACACACAGTCAGGGGCGACAGCAATATACGTCCACATTATGACTGTGGACGCATAAAAATAGTAGGGGATATTGAAATGCAGCAGGTTGTGATATGATAAATAGTCATGGACACTTGACATGCTTTGGGAGTATGTTCACAGATGAAGAACTTATCGTCCCAACAGAATCACTGCGCTGCACGTGCGACACGCAATAGCGCCATACACATGGGAGGGGTTCACTGTCAAATTTGACACTTCAAAGAAGGAAGGGGTGATGAAAACTGCCGCGTGCTGGTTTATCCTATCCATGTTTGCTTTCCTATCGGTTCTTGCTTAAGATTTACTGTTTAGCGTATCTTTGCTTTAGTGTGTTACGTTTAATTTGCAATGAGACGTCTTCAACATGATGAACGTCTACTTGCTATTGGCATGCTTCAAATGGGTTCTACACAGCGAGCAGCAGCCAACATGCTTAATGTGTCAGAGTCTGTGATCAGCAGACTGTGGAACCGGTACCAACAAACACACAATGTTGATGATAGACCTCGTTCAGGTCGTCCTTGAGCCACTACACAAGCCCAGGATCGATACATTCGTACACAGGTCCTGCGAAATCGAGGACAAAGGCCTATTGTAGCACCATAGGTCTTTCTGTCTGACGTGGTGAGCGGGTAACTGGAACCGGTCGTCACATCCTACATACGGCCCATGCATCTTTTCTTACTACATATTTCTGTAGCCTTGTGATCGTCTAGAATTTGTCTCTAGCTGTCTTTACTTCTGCTTCACGTTGTGTATTTACTTCTTACAGTTTCTTAAGACGTTTGTCTTACCAGGAATAACAATGCGACAGTTTGCTTCTACATATTTTATATATATATATAGCTGAATACAGGTATACAAGCATAATAGATAACAATACTAGCTAAAGCTAGTAGCTCTCTGGAACCTTATAGAAGCCTGTCTTGAAAGGTTAAAATAGATATCTTATATAGCAACCACGTTTATCATGCACAGGAAGCCTGTTCATGGCCCTAAACCTGTGCAATTAACGATATGATTGGTTACTTTAAGTCAAATGATGCAATTAGAATAATTCCACTCACGTCTAATTCTGGTGGTAAATTGTGACACCTGTTTTGGTTTAAGAGCTCTTTTTATGTAACAACATGTCAATTACAGACTAAGTTGATTTAGTGCACACTATATAATGAATATGGTTGAAATTACTAACTTGCCAAAGATATTAATTAATGAAATATAAAGGCATCTTATTTCTCTATTCCTTGTCTATAAATGTAAAAACAATGTCGCAACGACGATAGTGCTACAATATCAGCTTTCTGTAAACTTGTACCAAGTTTCGGGATTTCGAGTTACACCCTAAACGATAAGAAATCGGCTACATGCAGCCCATTTTGCATGCGCGACGACCGCGTGTTGTGCCTCCATTAACTCGCCAGCACATGGCAAACAGGCGTCAATGGTGTAGGCAGCGTAGAAATTGGGGTAATCGTCGATGTGCGCGTGTAATGTTCTCAGATGTGTCCAGATTTACTCTGGATTTCACCGATAGGCGTGCTCGCGTTTGGAGGCGTGTAAATGAGCGTCATGCTAACGTTAACGTCAGACAGCATGACAGATTCGGGCGTGGTACTGTTATGGTGTGGGGAGGAATCACCATGACTGGCAGAACGGACTTGCATATTGTTCAAGGAAGGGTTACTGGTGTGATTGGACGGTTGATTAGGAGCATGCCACGACGAATTGCTGAATGTCTGGGGATCGGTTGAACAATTACTCATTATTAAGACAAAAATCAAAAACGTCCATTTTCACTTTTGACAGTGTATCTCTTTGCGAGTGAAATGGGGCCGTCAGATAAGCCGCCCATATGAACTGTTTATGTTCATGTGTAGGCAATTGGCCTGTTATTAACATACACTGGTTACGTCTAATAAAAACAGCAGGGCATTTCCGCAGTTTTGTATTGTTTCTGAATACCCCCTACTTTTTTTGAAGAGTATATATCAACTCTTCCAGATGCTAGTGTTGTCAAGACAAGTAAAACGAAATTTTTAACTATAAAAAAACAAAACGAAATCAGATCCGTGTTTTAATCAGACTGGAACCTGTTCAACATGTCTTCAATTAAATCAAGATTAGATTTAATAATAGAATCTATATTTGGATTCTGGCTAACAAATGACGTATTTGTTTGCTAAGAATCCAAATCTATAAGTTTCTTATCCAGTAGTTCAATTAAGGGGTTTCGTCTACCGATATGGTAAGATAACATATACACGGATAGTGTAAGTTGAAATACATGTTTATAACCCAAAGATCTTGGTTCCTTTCGATATTCGCGCGTACCGGATTGTATCTTCCTGAATTATGGCCCTTGAATGTACAAGAAATCGCGTTTTTAGCTTGTGGACCTCATGGCTCCTGATTGTTCGAAAAATTGCATTTTTAGCATGCGGATTCTCTAGAGGTCACAATTTTTTTTTCCGATTTTAAAAACCGTTTAAACATATCACCATTCCACCATAATGAAGGTTGAAATCGAATTTTGGGAAAATCGAAATGAAACTGACCGACAAAATGGCCGCACTTTGTACGCAAATTGTGTAAAAGTATGCTACGAAGGTTGTGGACCCTCTAGAGGTCACAATTTTTATCCGATTTTGATGAAACTTAAAACATATCTTTATATCCCAAAGATCTCAGTCCCTTTTGATAATTGGGCATTTCAGAACATAACTTTCTGGATTATTGCCCCTGATTGTACAAAAAATCATGTTTGTTTTTAGCTTGTTCTCTATCCATCTCTTGCAAAATGTGGGCGTATCCTGCCTGGCAGCCGCTGGTTTGATGAAGACGTAGTTTTTCGTCATATTATGCTTTATTCCTTGCTGTTGCCGTTCGTCCTACACCACTGAGACGTAAAGCTGGAAAATGCCATTCCAACTCCGAGATCGAATCCGTACCTCCGAGTTAGTGAGCCAACGGCTTGCTCACTTACGGCATTCCACAGTATCTATAGCCTATCTTAAAATATATCAAAATTTCACATACTTACACTCCCTAACCTTTTTTGAGCAATATTTAGGAGTGTTAGCGACCAGCACAAGATAGGTCCCCGTTTTTGTTAGTTTTCAGAACATTCTAGATTTGAAAGTCTTAGAAAAGTCATACACAGAGATCCATCTACTTCATACATCGAGAATAAATCTCTGTCCTGAATAGCAGCCATATCCAAAATTAGTATATCGTTTTGTAATGTGGTTCTACTCCTTTTCAAACACAAAGACTAAATAAACCTATTTAATTCCATTAAATGGAAGCAGAAAAAATGCATCTCAAGATTCTCGATGTATACTTAGTGTTTTCGACTAAAATCGTCGATTTAAGACTTAAAATGTCGGTCAACTAGCTTAGTTTATGTTCTCAAGCGGAGCTAACTGTAGACGGGTAGCCTAAAATTAGTATGAGAAATGTCAGAGATTTATAATGTATAATAAAGGGTGTCTATGGGACGGAATATGTATGAAATCCTCCCCTTTCTGCCTGGACGACAGCAACCACAATACTCATTAAAAGCTAGAGAAAGCGTGTTTTTGGGAGGTACTAAAATAGAACTCATAAGCTTTGCCTCATCTTAATCAAAGAAACTGTATAAATTTGCATTTGCCAAAATGTGATGCTGATGCAACAGGGTTCAGAAGATAAACATGAATGCATGACAAAATCCACAAAGAAATTGACTCCGGGCTGTCGTTTATGCTATCAATTTGTTTAGTGCAAGGCTGGAAGTTGTAAGAAATTGATTTTAATGACTAATCGACTAATTTGCCAATTGGATTTAGTTTTGTTTCTTGGTTGATGTCGTTTGTGGCTCTCTTTTACCCAATCCAGTGATTGTATGACCATGGTGGTTTTATACCTGGGGTATCTAATGGAGTTATTCCCCTTCACACCATCTTAACGACAGGAGTTGGAAAAGTTGAGGTGACTTTGGTCGTAACAGAGCACAATACCACTAGATCTTGGTCAATGACATTATTGATGACTGCAAAACCAGAAGATGTCATCAGTTGTTTATAAGTCCATCATAAAGGTTGCTGACAAATTTGTGCCTGCTAAATTAGTACCACTGTGGAACCACCCTGCAGGTATTTTTACCGTATTCTCTCAAGCTCCACAAAATACAAATTACAATCCCTATCCCTGTCTGAGTCTTGGTAAATTTTAAACGGATTTCTTCGATTATGAACAAACTACTTAACTTTGGTTATTATAAACTTACCTGTGTGTTTGTAATGAACTCCCATTCGATAAAATCCATTGCACAACTAATTATCACAACGATGAAAACAAGTTCTCTCTTGAAAAATTTGAAAATTTACTTGTAATTTCGACAGAGTCGATGTCAACAATGTCTAAGTGACGTATTGGTCGAATCCAATATACCTGTTGCGGGGGTTGGTTAACATTGAAAGATAGTTTGACAGCGCGATCATTTTGATCGTATATGGGTTTGGGGGTTGAATGGTCTAAGGTGTGCACTTTAGATCATATGGTCTGTCATTGATTCTAGTGGTATGGTTTCAATTCCCAGCTTGTACGTGACAAGGAATAGAATCGTCTCTCCAACCTCGTGGGTTTTCTCTGGGTCCACCTGTTTCCTCCCACAGTTAAATTATTGAGTGGAATTATTGAAATGATCTAATTTGTGTCAAGTTGAGAGGGTGTTTAAACCTATTTCTCTCTCAATCAATGGGAAAATATTGGTACCCTACTAATACTAGTCAACCATAAATTAAGGTTGCAGATCATGGTTATCGATAGAAATAACAAAGAAGATTTGAGCCTTGAAGATACACAGGGGATGCATCTTTTGCATGGAAAGTTAGACAACTAATGGTTTCAATCCTAAATCACAGATTTATCTTTTCATTCACATTTATTAACACATTACAAAACATTTTTTGACATTTACTTTAGTGCTACAGTAATATAGACAGGTTTGCTCTCGGTGGGCATAGTAGGGGACGGGCAAGCCCCGGTCTGTTGTTGATTTTATGCCTGCATGTATTTTGTTGTTCCAGTCACTCATTTAAGATAGAACTTAGAAGGGGAAATGTTTTCTTATATTCCAGTCAAAAACATCTAAGAAATAATCTGAAATTTTGTTGAATTGACATCAAAACTATTAAAATGCAATGACTGATAATTAATGGCATTCAGCTTAGCATGACTTCTGGCTCTAAATCACAATATGTCGGACCTTCCCACTGATAGGATGACCCGTGCACTCTACAGAAAGTTGGTCTCGACACGGCTAAATGTGCACGCTTCACTTGCGTGTCTCGAACTGATTTCTGACTACCCCGCACTCTCTTTGAGTCGATAACTAGCCACGTCATGTGCAATTCTCTACAAATATATCAACTATTACAGCCGTAAAAAATCTATTGTTGACGATTTTGAATAGCAGTAAAATTTAGCTTCTTGGTTATTACAGCAGCTTTAGAAATTACGTTTGTTTTATTTTTTAAATTGCTTTATCATTAAACTGTACCGTTAAGAGCGGCATCTTTTGGTTTAGTACAAATACTATCTCTGAATCACTTTCTTTAGCAGGAACATGATACTAGCAGTAGTTTCATTTTACTTTTACAAGTTTCTTAAAACAATTGTTGAGTTGTCTAAAGTGCTTATTTCTAAATTCAATTTCTTGTTCTAGCTTTCTGTTATGTTTCGTAAAAAAGTAGTCTTGATTATCCCGACCTGTCAATCAGACGTAGAATGGTCGATAGACTGGTTAAGTGAGACTAATTTAAAAACAAGGGCACGTAACCTATCTTTTACTCAAAAGATTAATGGTCATACCTTATTAAGTACAACATGATCATTTATTTAGTGACTATAATTGTGTGAAACTGATTTTAGGCTTGGCATATATATAAATATTGTGGCGTAATTGTCGAGATATTGGGAGATATTTATTTATGGTGGGTCACCCTACCACTTATCACTGAAACTCTTCAGGATATTTTAGTCAAGAGCCCTTTAAGAACAGAGGTTTGGTGCCTTTCTATTGATTTAACATTTAACATGCATGTGTTATCAGAATTAGCTTTTATTTTCTTTTAGTTTTTTCCCAAAACAATTCTACACATTACGATAAGAATCCTAATATTTTATTTAATTGTGTTTTTACTTAAAATGCACTCATCTCTGTAAAATTCAAATATCATGTGTAGTAAACATTGCACACATAGTAAACATTGCACATGTTAATTACATGAACATATCAGTTTAGTTTTCGTTATTCGTTGTTAATACTTATCGCTTACATGTGTATATTAGTGTTGTGCTGTGTGTTTATTTAACATGGTTAACAGTATTGGAGAGATTTTATCAGGTAAAAAACTTATTTAAAACATCCCTTCTTCATCCATTAAGTATGTCTTCCCACTTCCGAAAATGATCAGCTTAAAGATACATTATGGGAGATTCGATAACAAGTTGGCAGTTCTCACTTTGCTGAAAATTTCATTCAAATTGATCCACTATGAACCGAGAACTAAGTGGTTGAAATTTCCACCTAGCCTTGATCATCAGTACTAAAGTCAGTACGATAAACAGGGGGATCACGTGGCTAAGTGGGTAAGACGCTAGCTCGCTAGCCTGGAGGTCGGGTGTTCGATCCCTGCATTGGCCGAGAAAGTTCATCCAGATTTTCCGGCGTGGTTCTCCCTTGTCAGTGATGCAGGACGGAGGGGCTGACAAGGAAAGCTGTCTAGTCGTTCGGATGGGACGAAAAACCGAGGTCCCGTGTACACATTGGCGTGCACGTAAAAGATCCCTTGGCAGTTGGAATTCGATATAAGAGTAGGCCGTAGTGCCGCTGTCCGGGCAAAATTTCCCTCATAGCACACTGTATGGCGTATGCCCGTCTTCATTAGCCCAGGTTAGGAGCAGAACAGTAGGACGTTAAACTCCATTTCATTTCATTTCATTTCATTTCACGATAAACAGCATAGTCTTGATTATCCATTTAATCGTTAAAATCGTGAAGGAAAGTTATGAAGTAAATCGGCTCACAATCCACTAAAGATCGCAGGCTAGCAATGCCATCTAGAGTTGATTATGGTCTGGATAGGTTAATTAATGTCTAATTAATAATTTAGATAACATTTCAGGCCTAAAGAAAGACCTGCAATAGACAGATTTAGCTCTTGCATAATGTATGTTTAAGTTTTCAATGGGTGAATTTTATCTGGAATCCCAATTATCAAGACTGACATGGAGTGTTCGATGTGATTTTAAAATGGTTTTCAACCTGATCAATATAAAAAAAAAATCTTTCTACTGATGCTAACATATTAGTTTAGTAAATTAATTACACCACTGTGGTCTCAGTACTAATTATTTCACCATATCATATACGGGTATATTTTTTATTTGATTCTAATTGTCTTGTTTGTATTTAACCTTACTTAATTTATATTTATTTTAAACCTATTAAAAGGTTTTTGTTTGGTGATAGCAAATAGAAAACATGAAAAGTTCTCTCATGGTTAAAATTTTATTTTTAAAAATATCTGGAAAATAGATCATTGATTAGAATTTTGAGTTAACATTATTCAGTTTGAATATTCAAAACTATTGTTAGGGATAAACTATGAGAGAATATCTTTTATGGTTAATAGTTATTGCATGTAGTAATGTTAATTAACTGTTCCTAATACCAACATTGTACATATATGTTAGAAATCAAATCAAATATGTAGACATTTAATGATATTTTTTGGTGTAATGTTTCAGGTCCTAAGACAATATTTTTCTGGGCACCAACATTTAAATGGGTAAGTTAAAATTGAACAATAATTAGGCAATTTGATGGGTTCTGTGAGCTTACATGTAAATAGTAGAGTGGGATGCAGTTTGGAATGGTATTGGAATCCTAGGTGTAGGCTGGTAAGAACCTCAGGAATTTTTCAAGTGTTATAGCATCTGCACCAATCTGCTGGAATCAGCTGGATGTAGTAGTTTGGATGGTCAAAAAAAAAAGCAACCAAGGTCCACCCGTGTGAGCATTTGCTTGACAGTCTAAGTTAAAATTACACATTTGTTTGACAGTTAAATTCGATGAAGAGTGGGTGTACATTCCACAGTCCAGACAAAATTCTTTTTCCTAGCATTCCACATGTGAATCATAGAAAAAGTATGATGACTGTCTGTTAATCTCAGAATGATCAGTTTAGTATTTCCTAGAAGATCATGAATAAATCAAATTCGAAAATGTAATGAAATAACCAATTTACCATGAGCTGTTCGTATTTGATTGTTAGATTTGCATTACTGGACTCGTTTTCGGGTATTTCTTCATTGTTCATTTTCAACAAGTACATACCACTCTCAACTGAATGTATATAAAATTGTTATCCAGACACTTATAGGCAATAGCATGGAATATGGGGGACTAAAACCAACATCATATAGATGCTGAAAGTTATTTTATCTCTTGGAAAGAGTATCAGAGATCAGTTAGTTGCACAGGACTTGGAAAAAGGTTTCTAAAGCCTCGGTTATTTGCGATCCAATGCGATTGTCTTCTCCATAAATCTTGCAATTAAATCTTAGAGGGCTTATGTCAACTATGATCGTATGCAATTGAACCCACAGCCACATGACGACCATGTGATCTGAAGAAAGCAGGGGAATATTACACACTTTTTGGGACACAATAACCCTCCTTCTAATTGAGCTAGAATGTTCAAACTTTGTGTAGGTGTTTATTAGGTGAATACCTTAATGGAGTTCGAAGATGAGCATATACGTCACCATTAGGAGATATTGTCAGAAAATATGGTCTCAGCTTTCATTTGTATGCCGATGATACTCAATTATATATTTCATTTACACCTAATTGTCCATCTTCTTTCAATTTATCAAAATTGCAACTTAGAAAATGGATGTCAAAGAACTTTCTAAAATTGAATGATGATAAAACCGAATATTTGTTATTAGGCTCAAGGCATCAATTAAGTAAATCTGCACAAGATAACCCCCCTGTTGTAATTGGTAATTGTGATATATTTTCATCTTATTCTGCTCGTAATATTGGCGCTATCTTTGATAGTTTTATGCTTATGGGAGCTCAAGTAAATAATATTTGTAAATTGTGCTATTTTAATATTAGAAATATAGGTAAAATACGTAAATGTGTAACTGTAGAGGCCACTAAGTCACTTGTTAATTCTCTGGTCACTTCTCGATTAGATAACTTTAATTCACTTTTAGTTGGTTTACCTTTAAAGCTTATAGATAAATTACAAAAAGTACAGAATACTGCGGCTAGACTTGTTACTTTAACTAAGAAATGTGACCACATAACTCCTGTTTTATATAATTTACACTGGTTACCTGTTAAATATCGAATTGATTTTAAGATTTTATTACTTACTTTTAAATGTTTAAATAATTTAGCTCCTGTTTACCTCTCAGATCTTTTAGAACTTTATACACCTGGCCGAACATTACGTACATCAGATAAACTACTTTTAAAGCCCAAAACTGTTCAACTAGTCTCCTATGGTCAGCGCTCTTTTAGTTATCAAGCACCTGTTTTATGGAATAATCTACCATTTAGTTTAAGATGTTGTACATCTCTGTATTCTTTTAAAAAAAAACTTAAAACACATTTATTTAATCAGGCTTTTAACTGACTCTGTATACAATCGTTAACATGCCCATAATCTTGTTGTTTATGTGTGATTTACATTGTCACTTTGTAAAGTGCCCCTGAACATGTTATATGAAAGGGTGCACTATAAATATGCTGTAATAATAATAATAATAATAATTAAATGAGAATGATGCAACTTGGTGTATAGTTTCATTACATCAATACCTTGACTAATGTGATAATGAGCATTTTCTGCTCAGGGTAAGCAGAACGATAAGCAATTTGATTGGTTGAAACTTTGGAACACAATAACTTGCCTTCTAATTGAGGTAGAATGTTCAAACTTGGTGTAGGCATTCTTTAGGTGAATGCCTTGATGGAGTTTGAAGATGAGCATTTTCTGCTAGGGGTAAGCGGAGATAAGCAACTTAGTGTATAGTTTCCCTACCAAACCAGATACTTCAAAACCTTTACTGGATTTGATTGTGAACATTTTATGCTTAGACTAAGTATAGATAATCAGTTTGCTTGCTCTATACTTTTGAAAAAAATAAATGTGCAATTAAGCAATATGTGTCATCTATTTATTTTGGTATTTTGGCGGGGGACATCAGCCTCACTGTTGGCTTGTTATATATTTTCCCTTCTTTCTTTTTTTCAATGCAGGCATTAGTGATTGCTGGAATTGGCGACTTGCAGAGACCTCCTGAAAAACTTAGTGCTTATCAATCTACAGCTTTAGCTGCTACAGGTAATTACATTAACTTATACACTATATCTAGTTTGTAAATTTTTATAAATATATTTATTTACTTACAAAATTCAATACATCTTTTTCATTTGTTTCTACAGGAATTATCTGGTCACGATATTCAATGGTCATCATTCCTAAAAATTATAATTTGTTAATGGTTAATATATTTGTTGGTGCTACTGGAATATATCAATTAATTAAAATTTACAAGTAAGTTTACCACTTATGTTTAGTAAAAGATATTTTAAACTTCTTCTCTGACATTCTGTCTGATTAAATATACACTCACATTTATTCTCATCTTCATACAATAGCCAATTACCATATTTACAAGTTGCTATGAGAAATGTGCCCTTGGGTGCTATAGAGCTGTTTGTCTAAAATTATTGTAGTAATAGCTAGCATTTTAAAAAAGTATATCCTTCAATATCATGTTCATTCGTAAGAATTATCTAACTCTGCTGGGGTTGTGATACATGTAGTTTTTTGAGAAACTCAGGCCCTGGTTTTTTGTACACTGCAACACCATTGCCATTTTTGGGATGATGAAAGGCTTAACAAACAGTAAATTATTGGTCAGATATTATTTAGGACAACATTTAAAATTACCTTCATGTCTGGTGAATGGTCGCATCCAAGACCAGATTCCAGTGTGTAGATATTTTTATCACATTTTGTCTTTGTACCAAAGACTGGACAGAAGAAAGACAAATAAATCTTGAACAGAGATTTTCATAATGTTGACATTTGAGTTGAGAAGCAGATTCAGTGTAGTGGCTTTGATCAAGACATTTAGCCTGACTAAGATCATCAGATTCGGTGTAGTGGCCTTGATCAAGACATTAAGCCTGACTAAGATCATAACGGTAACATAACATTAACAAGACCTTTGGAAACACAAGGGCTTTGATGTCTAAACTGAAAATTGTTCTTGACTTTAAAAATGTATTCTGCACTGGTTAAAATTAACATAAGTACAATATTTATATAAAAGTCAAATCATTATAAGTAACTATATGATTTTATTACAAATTGTATGTGATAATATTCATTATTGTATAAGCGTATAGACTTATTAATAATAGATGAATATCTTCTCTGTTAATATCAGCCTTGGTCATTTCAGGGGCTTATAATTAGCAACCAAGTTCTTCAAGTCCCACAAAATGAACCAGCATGATTTTGAAATTATGACGAAAAGAGGAATTACAGAATCTCAACCAATCATAATCTCAATTTCTTGTTAAAAAAAAATATCTGTTAATGTAATAATAACACTTTAAGGGGTTACGTATCAAATTAATCAGATCCCTATTTTATTTTTTCAGCTACAGAACTGGACTAAAGAAACAGCAAACACAATCTGAATAATGAGAAAATCGAAGCTGTTGTGTGTTGTAGTGAATGTTCAAATATACTTGTATATTACAGTGGTTTGTCAATAACAAAAAGATATGACTTACAACCATTTTTGCTCATGTGTGAGATTAATATATTATTACTTTATCATTTTAATGGTAATATGAATATCTTTTGTTGTATTGTTACGGTAATGTAATTATTCTTAATATTAAGTTATTATAGAAATTTACATAATAAATTTGGGTATGCATTTTAAGAATTTAGCACTTAAAGGAATAGAATGTTTTCAATCACATTGTTTATTTTGATTTAGTCAGCTTGTAAATAATTTCTAAATCATTTTGCTGGTTTCTGAGAAAAAAGTAATTTTATGGACCATTGGGATGTTAAGGCCTTGTACTTGTAATGGTATCAGAAAGTAATTAAGATAGATTGATATTATATTTTTAAATGAAGGACAATTGGCTGGTATTATTGAATTACAATCAAACATTTAACAGTGTTTCGATACGGTATTACAATTTGAATGGATATGCCCAAGTTGTATTATGTACATGTATTATAATCAAGATTTGTGATGATTGTTATAGTGGAATATTTTTACTCTTAAGTTTAAAGCTGATAAAATAAAAAAAAAATTGTTGTTTTGGGTGCATGTATCTATTTACAAAGTGTATTTATACGATATTATATCAGTGGTATTATTATATTTTGGATTTCAACAAAATTACATCGCGCTTCAACAGCATTTTAGTTTGAAGAAAATAAGACCCTTTCATGCAGTGCCAAAAAAAGATTTCATAGAAAGGTATTGTTTATGTAATGAATAGGGCAAGAAAATAGATTAATTTACTGTGGTTAAGAGATATTTATTTCTCCTCAAATTTCTAAGCCAAAAGTAAAATCATACTGTTATAAAATTTATTATACTATAAATTTAATTTTTAGCTTATATGCAACAGGTGTTTTATTAATAATGACAGATATTGTATATAAAATATCAACTTTTGGAATCTCCTAGTTTCTGTTTTAATCATAATCTTGACCCGTGCAACATTGTATATTATAAATAAAATATGTAAAGAAATAGTAGCATTTAGTTTTTTGCCCATAAAATGTTTTTATTTTAAAAAAAAAAAAATACCCTACAGATCAATTGTTGTTTTAACTGTAAAACTGGCCTGGAAGAACCTATGAATTTGTCAAAGTACAGATTTGACCATATAATGTTTTTTTTACCAAGTTAGTGCCCCTTACATTGCAAACATTTACAGATCAGAATTTTTGTTTCTTGGAACTAGTTCAGTTAGTAGTGTGGAGGATCAGAGACATCAGTTTTTATATTCCCACTTGGAAATATGGTAGTATATTGCCATAACACATGTCAGTCGTCATCCACAATTCTCATGCGTTCTTTTTCAAATTTCAATGCATTGTTAACATCAGTGAGATGAAAAAAGCCTCTTGAATTCTAGTAACTTTGAATAATAACTTCCAGGGTTATTTTCCATTCATATGATCTCCTTGAAATTTATATCCACTGTTCAAATTGGGCACATAGGTACCGCCCATGCTATTGAAATTGGGAAACAACTTTACAGACCAGTGTTTCAAGATGAAGTGCTTGTAATATATACAGCATATATTGTAATGTTGTATTGTCTCCCTTCACCTAGTTCAGGAATAGTGTGGGGATGACAAAGGACTGCTTCCAACTTGATCTGCCTATGAGTGAAACTAACAATTTTTATTGTCGTTGCCTGTGTCTCGACATCGGTCCATTCACTAGGTGATAATATAGGTTTATATCCCAAAGATATTGGCATGTATCAGAACGTAACTTCATGGATTATGGCCCCTTACTGTACGATAAATCTTGTTTTTACCTTGTGGACCCTCTAAAGGTCACAATTTTTATTTGATTTTGATGAAAGTATGTTTATAACCAAAAGATCTCAGTTCCTTTCGATAATGGCGCATGTTGACCATAAAATCCTAGATTATTGCCTATGATTGTACGCAAAGCCCTTTTAGTCTGTTCCCTATCCATCTCTTGCAGTGGCAGATTTGGTGGCCGAATGGTTGTCATTGAGTCAAGTGGTGTGGTTTCTATTCCCCGCTTGCATGTGACAAGGAGTAGGGTCATCTGTCCAACCTTGTGGGTTTTCTCCATGTTAGTCCCAAAATGACCTAGTTAGTGTTGAGTGGACATTATACCTCATTTTGCTCTCTCTCGTACAAAATGTGGGCGTATCTTGCATGGCAACAGGTTGTTCGATTGGTAATCCTATCCATGTTCTAAATCCACTATACAACCAACATACGTGGTAAATCTAAACCAGGCCTTATACAATTGTTAAATTAGATTATACTTTAATTTTGTTTATGTTTTTTGACTTTGTAATCATAGTAATCTCACACTTTCTATCTCTGAATAATTAATACCACTAAGCAAATCAGAATACACTTGAGCGTTAAAACTTCCCAGAATGTTATAATACAACACTAAACAAAGCCCAGTACACTAATACAGATAATTTAGTAACCCAGTTAGTTCAAATGATTTGAATACGGCTTTAAAGAAAATATGTCCCATGTTAATTAATGGCATATATGAAATCTAAAATAGAACATAATTAATTGACATCTAATTTTGATTAGAATGCAAATAACTGATGACTAGTTTATAACATGAATTTAGATATCATTCTATAATCTATGTATCATCTTATATTGCAGGTCCTAAAACTGTTTTTTTCTGGGCTCCGTGTGTTAAATGGGTAAGATATTTATCAACATATTACTAATAATCACCCATGTTTTCGTTTTAAGAATAGGGAATTCTCAGTGAAACTGGAATCAAATCTAAATTTTAAATTCAATCCAACTTAACGATAAAAGATGACTTTACCTATTCCAATTCGATATAAATGTATTTCAGATTCTGGTCATTGCTGGTATAGGGGATCTTAAACGGCCCCCTGAAAAAATGAGTGTTTTTCAAGCCTCAGCTTTAGCGGTTACAGGTGAACTCAGTTTGTATGAAATGAATTTTCATACCCTATACATGCCATTTTTAATGCAGCTCTAATTCACCACTACTTCTTCATGAATTGGGTTAGAGTTATGTAATCAAAGAATAGTCTGCCAGTACTGAGAAGCATTTATGCCCTAAAACAAGTTTTTTGCTAATATGCTTACTTCCATACTATAAATAGAGAATCTCCTACAAGTCTTTTTTGATATCAAAAAAGATGAGTTGGAGATTTTATTTATCACCCAACCCCTTCTAACATGCACAAATAAATAAATATAATTCTTTCCTATAGATTTCACTTTTACTGAACCTGATTACATTACGGCGTAGTTATACATCATTTTTTGATAGAAATTCAACCATTGCAAAGTCCTTTATATTGACCCAGTGTTTCCATCAAGGCCAATTAAATAAAAATAGTTCCTTTTTAATAAGAAAGAAGTTAAAAAATGAACTGTTTTTTGAAAATAAAAAAAAAGTAGTTCCTTTCTGATTGACCAAACAAATTCATGTAAAGCAATATCTCCTAAGGAAATTTATCACACAAACGATATCTACTATAGAATGTATTATTGGGTGATAGCATGCTTGGACATTTTATTGATATGGAAGAAAAAGATTTGAACTGTAATTAAAATTATTTTAAAATATTACATAGACCTTTTTGGATGAACAGCTGAATACTAAGTTGTTAAATAGACCGGAAATCTTCCTTTGTTCTTTTCGTTGAATAAGCAGATTGTTTTCCCTCTAGCAGGCTGGGTAGAGCTTAACCGTGCAATAACTAGACATTTTCAATGTTATTGCACACCTTTGCTGGTTTACGCTAGTTTTAGTAGAAATCATATTGAGCAGGTGTCAATGTTACAAGTCATTTATAGCACGCTTTATTCGTTAACAGGTTTAACACCGAGGCCATAACCTCGGCCTATGGCCCCTGTGGATAAACCGGTTAACTCATGAAAGCCGTGCTATAAATATAACTTAAATAGTTGAAAAAAAGTTAAATGCACTGATGGATTCTTCGATTTCTAAAAATTATTGTGCATAGCTAAAGAGTTCTATAATGATAAATCATAGATTGTATACTAGGATTTTTCTTTGCAATATACAAAATATGTGTGAATAGGATTCCTAGAGCTATAAATTGACGGAAGCTATTATTTGAACATATTCACAATAGTCAGAATCTTTAGCCAAAAGAAATCCATGTTTGAATTCCATGTTATTAAATTTAAACCTTGAAGCATCTCATAAGTTCTAAAAATATTTGACAATATTGAAGAAAAATTAATATATTGAAAATTTCAGTTAAATTACTTGTTTCTGAGCGAATTTATCAGGCTTTGAAGTGTTCAGAAAATAGTTTTGATTGTCATATATTCGGTAATAAAGTCTTGATTATTCAATTTTTAACTTATTAAATGACAGTTGTGTTTCTGTGTATTGAAAATCGCAACCATCCAATGGTCTAGAGACTTGATTATGGGCTTGTCATGTGAATAATTTATATAATGTTTGAGGCCAAAAGACATACCTGCAATAGGCACGTTTAGCTCTTAAATAATGCATCTTTTATTGTCTGGGTAAGAATCTTCTATATGCAATTTTCTTATTTTCAGGAACAATTTGGGCCCGTTATTCCCTAGTCATAATACCAGTTAACTACAGTCTTTTTCTAGTCAACATTTTCGTTGGATTAACTGGCTTCTACCAATTATCCAAAATACACAAGTAATTATTCTTTAACCAGAGAGAGAGAGAGGAGCGAGGAGAGATAGAGAGACTCCACTCAACACAAACTAGGTCATTTCGAGACTAACATGGTTCAATTTTATTTCAATAATTCGCTTGCACATAGGGGTCTTTAGCAGTGGGAGGAAACCGGAGGATCCGGAGAAAACCCACAAGGTTGGACAGGCGACCCTACTTCTGGGGAATCGAAACCACGGCAGTTGACTCAATGACAGACCTTATACAACGCACACATGCTATAACCATTCGGCCATCCCCCCCCCCCCCACCATGCTCACTATAAGGTTTCCTGTAGATAATGCTACTCCTCACAACAGCAATATTCAGCCAGAATCTATCCACAATCTACATGAGCAGTATTACATTTCAGCAAACCAGGTTTAGGTTTGGGTATAGCATTGAGAAAACATTCTGCAATCATTCTCCTTTTTCTTGTGTGAAAATTTAGGGTCAGCACGCTGTCTACTAGCCATTCATATGGCTTATCACATAATAATTATGGCAATCACACACTGTCTAACTTTGGTTTAAACTGATCCCATGATATGTGATACCTCACCAAGAAATAATTAAAGCATAAAAAGTTTGACCCATGACTGATAGAAGTAGTTTATCTGTTCAGTTCAATTTATTTTGACTTTAGATGATTTAAATTAAATCATTTACTTAATGTATATTTTTCTTTCAGCTACCGACGAGGTCTTGCCACTTCAGAGAAAAAAGAAATTATTTAAAAACCAAATACTGCTCAATAGAAAAAAGATGCTGTTGTATTTATGAAACAAAAAAAGCCACTTCAGTTTAAATAAATGTACACATTATAACAGATCCACAGAATGATTATTTTACTATAAGGCATTGGGCTCCCAAAAACTTTTGTCAAGGTTTTCCGATTATTGAAAGCAAGACTGTTACACTTATTTGCTCAAGAACTTGTAAACCTAGTCCAATTAGAAAACATGATTTAACACAAGACTTTTTCTCATATCAGTCAATTCCTAAATAATACCTCAAAATATATCTGTAGTCATGACTTAAAATTATTATGTAATGTTGGTATGTCTTAATTTTAAATTAATATAAGGTGTTAACTTACTGTTTATTGGATTATTTTATGGTACTTATGAGAACACCCTTTTGTCCATATTAAAATATCAGTAGGTCTATTATCATTTGAGAACTTTTGAATTCTCTGCAAACTACAATATTGTTCAAGTTGAGTCTGTAAAAAAGATATCTGTCCAAAACAAAACTTTTTTACTTTCATGCAACATTTGGCATTTTCTGCAGATAGTGCCACCTATACATAAGTGTAAAATCTTTTGATAGGCCTCTTTGTAATTTGACTGAAATCAAATATGACGATCAGCTCAAGTCAAGAAATGAAAAATGAAATGGGGTTTAAAGTCCTACTGTTCTGCTCCTAACCTGGGCTAATGAAGACGGGCTCAAGTCAAGAGATGGTCATCAAAATATTGCACGTCTAATTACAAAATTCTGAGAATAAACCCTAACATAGAAATAACCCCTGTAATGTATAACATATCTAAACAACAAACCCAGTAAGTCATTTAATGAATTCTTTTTTGTTCTTTGTTGCTCCCAGTTGAAAAAATTAAGATGCTCCATTTTGGAAATGTAATTAAAGTCTGTTTATAAGACAGTTGGAAGGAATCTAACACTAAATTTAAATTTTTTGTCTAAACCTTGTTTTCTACCTACATTTAAAATCAACATTTATTTTATTGTACTATCTTTTGCATGAGAAATGGTAATGATATGATTTAATTTGCGTAATTTACATAATACTGTCAGTTAAACCCTATGCACACAATATTTTCTTTATTAAATACAGATTAGATGGATAATTTCTACATACCAAAGATTTTGAAATTTGAATACCGGTATTTAAATCTATATTTTTTTTAAAATGTTGAGTTTGCTGATGTATATTGCATGATAAAAGTGTAAAAAACAAGAATGAATATATTTGTTTGATGTTTATTATTATTCATTATAAGTAAACAGTTTTTTTACAAAGCAAAAGAAAAATAGAGAAAATGAGAAGATATATGGTGAATGGGTAATAGAAGAAATGTTTATGAAGATTATAGTTTACAGGAAAAGTATACATAATGTCAGCAGATATCTTTATAATCATTTTCCAATTTCTTAAGAATTTCTCGACTCAGTTCTGTGTAATTCTCCAGTTGAAACTGAAATAAAAGTCATCAATGAATTTAAAATAGGGCAGTAGAAAGGCAACTTAAAAAAAAAAAAAAAAGTTTGCATAAGGTGGCATTTTCATTAATTCTTTAAGTTTAAAACAAATAAAAATATATATCTAAATCTTGATGCGCTAATACAGTTAATCCAGCCTTGGGGATATATATGAACATAGATTATTGTTTACATTTTGCTTTGTCTACTTGCCAACTAGTAATCTTGGTTAACAGGTCGTCCTTTTGAAACATTATTTTACTGCAAGATGTCTTGGTGATCTAGTCTATTACAGCTAGTTACATAATTCGGTATTGTTTGATAGACAACACCAAATACTTTCCAGGTTTTATTTGAATTTCTACATAAGTGTGTGCAGATTTTTATCAGTAAAATATTTGACTGAATAGTTTAAACTGCATTTTACTAAGTCAATACATACAAAAAATATCAAACCTGTTGATTTGTTTTATGCTGTACTATGTTTTCTACCAGCTCATTTAAATTATTGATGGCAAATCTCTCCATTTTATCTAGTGCTACATATCTTTCTTCACAACTGAAAATGATACAAAATAAATGAATATAGGCCGCTGTCCAAGTTTTAAGGTATCTGTTATATAAGTGGGTGTAAGTTAAAAAAATCATCTTAAAATATTGAACCATTCAGAAATAATTGCCAAAATTGCTTAACAGAATTATAAAACTCAACTGGAATTTCCTCTAATAAATGAAAAATGACTTCATATTTATTCAAAAAGTAGCACTAGTACTGGTTTAGGATCAATTAAAACAATATTTATGGATAACAATTACTATAGTTTATTACACTGCGACGTTTCAACTAATCGTTATCAAGCCTATAAAATACAAATAAACATTTTATTCACTAAAATATGTCTTTTAGCACGATATTTGATCAATTACATAATAGTACATATTCACCAGCAGTATGTAATACTCACTTTTTCTGTGTTTCACGAAGATCTTTTAATGCCTCCTGATTACCAAGGAGTGAGAGTTTCTGTAATTCTAATATAATATTCTGTTCGCTTTCTATTTCTTCTTGTATCATCTGTATTTCTCTGTGGTTCATCTACAAAATTTACATTTATCCTTATTTAAAGTAGCAATATTGTTATTAATTCATAAAATATAGAAAACCATGAGGTTGGGTAGGTGCCCCTACCTGGTTATGTACAAGCTCGGAATCAAAACCATGCCACTTGTCTCAATGACAGACGTTATAATTTAAAGCACACGCGAAAGACCACTCAACACCCTGACCCCAAAAAGGACTTCATTGGAATGGTATTGGGAGCTTAGGTTACACCTATCTTGTCCATGTACTGTAACTGAAACCTGCAAGTGCTTTGTAACTTTTATTCAATGACCAAATATTTTGCTTTTACAGTTAAATATGAATGGTTCAATTGGGAAAAAAAAGAAAGAAAAAAAAGATTTCAACAACTAAAGCATACTTTTTAGCACATTATATGGTAAATTTTCCATATAATGCAAATAGTCAATGACAAGTGAGTGATCTTGTAGTTGTACTAAAAATCTATAACCTTGCAATTAAAACACATTTCTAATTTCAAAGTAAACTAAAAAAGCTCTTGTAAAGAATGACATTATTTTCTAAATATAAAAAACAAACCTTTTTTAAACCATCAAGTTCTTCTTCTTTCTGTTTTAACTTCTTTTCTATTGCATTATTTTCTTCAATGGCCTCGTTCTTGGTCTCACGAATCTTTTAAAATGACCATATTTCAAACGACATAAATCTTAATGACCAAATATAATGAAATGGAATTTTAAAGCAACAAACCAGCAAAATATCCTATATAATTCAAAAACTTCAAAATAATTTAGTTAAGTATACAATACACTAAACAAATACTGGATTGAAATGGGATTATGGAACAGACTTGGTCAGTGTAAAAAACCCTACTACTTAAACCAATAAAGTCAATCTGAATCATTTGGGGGATTTTTAATCACTTGCAATCTACAATATTGTGATAGTTAGATCTTTAAAATGAATATCAGTCCACAAAAGGTTAATTCCATTCAACACTTCCAAATACTAAATAAATATTTTGATTTCTTAATTAAATGTTAACTAATCAATTTTAGTACATTTTAGAGTTCATTAATAAGTTATGAAATATTAAATTTAGGAAAAATGCATATATAATATTATATAGTTTAATTATTATATTTACCATTTCTAAGGTACTTTGTTGATTTAGTTTTTCTGTTTCTTTTTGACGAACAGCAGCGCTACACTTTTTCTTAAATTGTGTCAAAGAAACCTAACAACAGAACATATAATAATAATATATATATATATCTATGTACAGATTACAGAGTAGTAAATGTAAATAGATTAAATCAGAGATTTCAAGACTTTAATTCTGATCTGAGCACTTATCATGACAATATAATTAATGGATTTTTAAACAAGTTTATTCATATTATTTGTCTACCTTCATATTTTCCATGTCATCTTTCATTGTACTTTGGTGAGAAGTCTTCATTTCATAGTCCAAACCCTGTGCATTTTCTGCTGTAGATGGTATAAGTTTCAGTGTATGAGCTAGAGAGTTGTATTCACGGCTTATTCCTTCAATCTACAAGTTAAATATCATTTATATTATTATGTTTAACAGTAACACCTTTCACATCTTAAAATTTTGAATGCAGGCTATTTATGGAGTCATTATATACTTGACCCATCAATTTGTTTCTGACAAATTAATTATTGAAAAGACTAGAAAAATATTAACATCATTTGTTTAGCATATATAATTAATGAAAGAAAAAGAAAGTATCCCTAATTGTCAACCAGTAATGGTCACTAATTTTAACCAATTTTGCAAAGATCAAACACATACACTAGTAGAGTGATACCAAATGCCAAAGTGTCTTTAATATTATAATAATACATCAGAATAATTTGATTAAAAAAGATTTGTGAAATTTCCAACCTTCTCTCTCGATTTAGCTACATCTGTTTCTATTTTCCACATTTCTTTATCTAACGATTCTTTCTCTTTCTCTCGACAGTCTATCTGATTCTGTAGATCTTTTCTCATCTGATTAATTCTTTGTATATCAGCCTGAGTTAAAGCTTGATTTTCACAGATAACTTGCATATTTTCATACTTTTGAGACAGAGATTCTAACTTTACATCTGATAAAAAAAGTTACAGAACAGTTACCAGGTTTTATATAGTAGGATAAATTTGTAAAATAAGTTGTTTTGAATACAATAAAAATTTGACATCAGCTATATGAACACAGCAAGACATGAAAGAGTAAGCATACCCTGCCATATGCTTGGTACCTGCTGCTACTTAAAGTTCCTGTATGGAATAAAACAATAATACTAAGTAAGCCTCAAACTCCTCTATATTATTATATACATAACTTCTGAAACTGCAATACTTTAATTTGAGCCTGAAAATCCCCATGTAGTCAAAGAGACAACCTATCATTAACCAGCAGCTGCCAGACAACATATGCCCAGATTTTGCAAGAGATGGATAGAGAACAAGTTAAAAAAAAAAGAGTAATTTTTCATGCAATCAGGAGCCATACATAATACAGGAACTTATGGTCTGAAATGCGCGAATATCGAAATGGACTGAGATATTTGGGATATAAAGATATATTTTAAGTTTCATCAAAATTGGATAAAAATTGTGACTTCTAGAGAGTCCACAACCATACTTTTACACTTATTTGCGTCCGATGGGCGGCCATTTTGTCTGGCAGTTTTGGTCCTATTTTTAACCATCATTAGGGTGTAACAGTGATTATATTCAAATGTTTTGTTTAAATCGCATAAAAATTGTGACCTCTAGAGGGACCACAAGCTAAAAACGCGATTTTTCATAGGGCCATAATTCAGGAGGTTACGATCCAAGATCTTTGGGATATAAACATGTATTTCAAGTTTCATCAAAATCGGATCTAAATTGTGATTTGTGTACGAGGGGCGGCCATTTTGTCTGGCAGTTTGGGTCCGATTTTCAAGAAATTCAAACTCAACCATCATTAGGGTGTAATGGTGATATTGAAACATTTTTTTAAATCGGATAAAAATTGTGACCTCTTAGAGGGACCACAAGCAAAAAACGTGATTTTTCGTACAATCATGATCCGATATGCACGAATATCAAAAGGAACCAAGATCTTTGGATTATAAACAATTATTTCAAGTTTCGTCAAAATCAGATCAAAATTGTGGCCTCTAGAGGGTCCACAACCTTGATATATCATGTATTTACATTTTTTGTTTACAGGGGGCAGCAATTATTTCTGGTAGTTTTGGTCTGATTTTCACGAAATTCAAACTCAACCATCATTAGGGTGTAGCAGTGATATATTCAAATTTTTTTTAAATCGGATAATAATTGTTACCGCTAGAAGAATCACAAGCTAAAAACGCGATTTTTTGTACTCAAGGGCCATAATTTACGATTCGATATGCAAGAATATCGAAAGGAACCAAGATCTTTGGGTTATCAACATGCATATCAAATTTCATCCAAATCGGATTAAAATTGGGACCTCTAGTGTGTCCCCAAGCTAAAAGTGTAATTTTTTTTACAATCAGGGGTCATAATCCATGAAATTATGATCCAATACATGTCAATATCGAAAGGACCTGAGATCTTTTGGAGATAGACCTATATTTCAAGTTTAGTCAAAATCAGATAAGAATTGTGACCTGTAGAGTGTCCACAAACAAATTGTGAATGGACACACAGGTGGAAAAAGGGGCGGACAGGCACGATAGCAATATAGGTCCACATGAAAATGTGAGCGTATAAAAACTGGTTGAACAGAATATGGTTTAATGTGTTTCACATACTAAATTTAAAAAACCTGAACAAAACATAACACACAAACTTATTTTGAATGTGAACCTTATAAAAGAGATAGTTTACTTAATGATGAAACTTCTTCATCTTCTTCCTTTAACTGATGTAGTTGTGTTTTAGTATGACTCTCTAATTTATTCAAATAATCTGTAAACCTGTGTACATCACTTTCTATAACAGCTTTCTGTTCTTTTAATTTAGGTAATAGGTCCTTAAAATCAATAAAAAACATTTCAAATCCAAAACTTAGCACATTCTGGCACACTTTACAGTTCGAATAAGCCAACTGATGTCCCCCGTCTCAATCCCAATATAAATAGATGAAACACATTGATTACTTGTAAATTTATCTTTTTATACCGCATCAAGCAATCAAACTGCTAATCGAAAGTAAACCTGTCGTTTTAAATAATTTTTTTCTTATTTACAAATATCTTTTTTTTTTTTTTTTAAAAATTATTACTACAATCCAATTTCTTAGAGAAAGAAAATTAAAAATGTAAAACTAGTTATTACTTACTGAATCTTGTTCCAGCAGTTCTAATTCTTGTTGAAGTCTATTTATGTCAGCCAGTGGATCTCCTGAAGATGAACCACCACAATACTTCGCCTCTTTTAAAAAAATAATTAATACTTTTCTTATTTCTTGATTTATTATATAAAGCTTATGATTTGTGAAGCAAAATATTTCATTAACAATTAGATATTCATGAAAAAAGTTAGAGAATAATTTTAGGGAAGAGCAAAAAAGTAATCTGAATCAAGAATTTTATGTCCATGATCTGGTTGTGGTCTAAGGGGAGATAATATGACAAAAAGGATTATTATACAGAGTTATCTCCCCATATCACAAGTTGTACAAGATATCTTCTCAATCTAGGGAAATCCTTTAAAATTATCAATACAATTACTTACTTATTGCCTGAGATAAGGCATGGTCATAAGAATCAAATTCATCTTCTCCACTAAGATAAGCTTTGTATGTTTTTTCAACATACAGATATAGCATCTAAAAAGTACAAATTAGACTTTTAGAAATTGGATCCTTTTCTATTATATGGGGATGGTTGATTAGACATCAAAATCATGGTAATAGAGAAAATATGGTAATAGAGAACTCGCGGAGAAATAAAAAATAAATTCAACTAAGTTTTAAAAACTCCATACAAAACTCTTGTCAAGCAAAGCATTCAAAATTATAAAATACCTTGTCTTCTGGAACAGAATCAAAGTCATCATCAGGTGTAAATAAATAATTGTCATCTCCACTTTCAAGTTCCTGAATTGACTGAAATTATAACAGACAGAAAAATTAATCAGGAAGACCAAATCTTAATCCAGAAACATTTCCTCCCATTTACAATCTTTCTCACAAACCAAACTTACCTTTAGTCCGCCAGAACTATGACTGAACCTGGAAATTGTATACAAAGTTTTTTTTATGATTTGATTTTAGTAGCCTAGGGTGTCCTCTTTCAGAATCTGCATGGTGAACTTCAGTCACCCTTGAGCGTTTTGAAAAATTCAAGATGACGTCCAAGACGACCGCCATTTCAAATAATCCTCTATAACTTCCATAGTATTTTGTTCAGGATGATAACTTTGGTGCCCAACCGTATGTTTTTGGGGCCAAGGAATACACTGAAATCATTCATTATGCTGTGGGGTGATTAGATGATAGTAAAATCCAGAATGCGAGACAATATGGCCCTTTAACTCGATAACGGCAGTTGGGGGCGATTATTTCCCCAAACCAAACTAAATCTAGAGATAAACTATATATTTCTGGACATACATGTAGGAGCATATAAGTGATACAATAACACCACATACATGCCTATCAGGGGCTCCAGGGCCACATGGGACGGCCCTTAAAAGGTGGCCACAAGCTGTGTTTTGACAGATACCTCGAAAAATATGGTATTTTGGAGGTGAATTTGAAAAAAATACGGGTCAACAGCAGTTGGCACGTTTTCAATCTATCGTATTACGACAAAACATAATTTTGTACGAATTTTACTGAGATAAATTTGAATACAGTACGGGAATTAAATATCAAAAATAACAAGGTGCACCTATTTTTTTATTATGTACGAATTTGAATATTTTGTTGACATTTGATTTTTAACTGTGGTCTGAAACCACCTGCTTAAATAACGATAAACATTCTGAGCATAATCCCTAAACCTAATGAAGTATAAAAGAACTTACTATAACCAACTCTTGTAACCATATAAGAGCTGCTAGTAGCCCAGGCCATGTGTGTAGAGAACCAACAGTATACATAGCACTTTTGGTTATAGTGACCGGATAACCCAATAATTTAAATATCCTTGGAATTTCTTCATCTGGTTTGGTTATTTTTATTCCTGGTACCAAAAAACTATAGATGAACTAAAATTAAACAAAGCAAGCTTGAAACATTAAGAATTGAGATAGAGCTACAAATATCCATATTGATTAAAGGTTTATCTTATATAAATTACCATACCAATATACATAGGCCTACTCTCCCCTTTTAAGTCCATCCACGATACCTGTAACACTCAACCGGACATTCTTTTCTTTTCATTCAAACTTGCTTAGATTGTTCAGTTAGAGGATCCACACCAAATTTCAGGTTGTGATTCATTTTCTTGTAGACTAACTTCCCATGTCAAACTTGGTTGGGTTGCTTGGTGGTACAAAGGGAGAGATTTTATTGAAATTCAGTCTTGTATCAGTTTCTTGCAGAGTTATTGAAAATTCTCTACATTTCACAGTTTTGGAGATATTTCCCTGAATCTAGCTGGGATTGTTTGGTTATGTTTAGTTATAGGAATTGAATTAAAATTCTCAACTACACATAAATTTCATTACTTTCTCAGCAAACAATGGATTCAAACCTGGGATCTCCTGGTCAGTGAGTCAGCGTCTTACTCACTGAACCACACTACTCTTTAGAGTATATGTGTACATTTCATTAAGACCTATTAAATGGAGCTGCTGCTCCTTTGAGTTCTATAACAACATTCAGAAAACTGTTGACATATGTTTTCACTGCCTGGCAATACATATTTCCTGTGGATGTGATTTAAAAACCAAAAGCTGTCTTTTTAAAATGGTAAATGTTTGGTGAAAATTTCAACAAATGATTACATGTTTTGTTAAAAGTGTGCAATAATGGGTCTCATTTTCAAGTTATATTCAAATACACCCAAAATAATATTCACCTAGACACAATTGGAATATTTACACTTCTTTATTTTAATTTCAAGAATATTTAATTAATATGTACTATTTACCTCAAACATTTTATAATATTCTTTATTAGGTGGACTCTGTAAAACTTTATGTGAAATACTACATGGGTAACCATTTTCAACCAAAAACTGTAATAAAGAATTGCATATTATATATTTTACGATTTTTGCATCAGCAATACAGCTAATAATAAACCTAACTGAAATGAAATATTTAACATGTCATCATCAACACTTGCCTTATTGGAGAGGGGGGGGGGGGTCCAGATGTTGACCAGTAATAAGTTTGGATATACTACATCACATTCAGCCTTCAGGTTAATCTTGTACTATTCTTTCTAATTGTGTATTACATTAGGGTGACTGTGATACTAATAGGGTAATTCTAATATCATAGTGGTCAAAAGCTGCAATGGCATACAAACCTGGTAATGACAGGCACAAATTGAGTCCCTGTTGCACAGAGCAATAATTTGTAATAAATAACTCTTTGAAACTCTATTCAATCAAAAAAATGTGCACTTGAATTTCAGCAAATAGTCAACGCAAAAGGCAGCAGTCAAACAAGGACTAGTTTGAGGTATTAGTTTTTCACAACGATTTGATATATATAATTGTAAATTGAATATAGTGAGTCCACAGCTAATTTTTGAAGTATTCAACTACGCCAAGCGCAAAAACTCCATGATTCTTATTCAACTTTGAACTCATTCAAGATTTCATGGATAGAATGCAACATACAGATTTTCTAAAAATGTTGAGACCATCACATTCACAGGCAAATGTGGACAGACAGAGTGATAGACAGGGCTGTATGAAAAAAAGATACATTGCCAGGCAACGAAACATAAGCCCACAGCAGCTAAATCGTCCGGGCAGTCAACAAGAGTTGTCGCATATTTTTATTTGTCGGTAATGAAACATTTATAATACACTAAAATCTGATTAAGAGTAACAACTCATTAAGTAATTGTCAGAAAAAACATTAGAATTTGTTTGGCCCATGCTAACGTTTAGTGTACAAAACATTTAATATCATGGATTTAGCTGTCCAAGTTATTGAAAATCAATATACTTGTTCGTCTCAAGACCTTAAACTCTGTATCAATCTAAAGTCAATCGAAACGATTATATATAGGCGTAAACACAGTGTATAAATATAAAATCAAACAGATGGTAACTATGGTCTCTAAAGCATCCACAAGATTTTTCAAAGTGATCAAGGGCCATAACTCTGGCAGTAATTATCAGAAATCGTTGAAAATCAATAGTCTTCTTCGTCTGATGACCTTAAACCCTGTGTATAGATTTAAAGTCAATCGGATATTAACTTTAGCCTCTAGAGCTTCCACAAGATTTTTCAAAGTGATCAAGGTCGACAACTCTTGCAGTAATTATCGGAAACTGTTGAAAATCACTAAGCTTCTTTGTCTCATGACCTTAAACACTGTGTATAAATTTAAAGTAAATCGGATATTAACTTTAGCCTCTAGAGCATCCACAAGATTTTTCAAAGTGATCAAGGGCCATAACTCTGGCAGTAATTATCAGAAATCGTTGCAAATCAATAGTCTTCTTCGTCTCATGACCTTATACACTGTGTATAAATTTAAAGTCAATCGGATATTAACTTTAACCTCCAGAGCGTCCACAAGATTTTTCAAAGTGATCAAGGACCAGAACTCTGGCAGTAATTATCTGAAATCGTTGAAAATCACTAGGCTTCTTCGTCTCATGACCTTAAACACTGTGTATAAATTTAAAGTCAATCGGATATTAACTTTAGCCTCCAGAGTGTCCACAAGATTTTTCAACGTGATCAAGGGCCATAACACTAGCAGTAATTATCGGAAATTGTTAAAAATCAATAGGTTTCTTCATCTCATCACCTTAAACACTGTGTATAAATTTAAAGTCAATTGGATATTAACTTTAGCCTCTAGATTGGACGTCGGACGTATCGCCAGACGGACGGACGAAAACAATATACGACCACATTTCAATGTGGGCGTATAAAAAAAAACAACAACCAAGGTAGCCTCAAAATGCTGAAAAGAAAAGCTTACTTCACATAATTTCCTAATACTTCTTTGCTGGTAGCTTTTATCAGATATAGGTCGACATTCTTTAGGTACAGTAGTTCTTCCCCTACCACCAATACTTGAATGTCTATCGATGAAAAATAAAATCATAAACTTTTAAAACTAAAGGTATATAAAACATAATACTAATGAGTACATTTAAAATGCACCAAGTTCTAAATGTCATGACATTGGGCATGCTCAAAGTCCTTCCCAGTTTCTATGTTACCAGTAAAGCCATGAGATATTCTTTAGTGCTCCAACCAGACTGTCTTTTAGGTGTTAACACTTTTTTTCTGTGAAAACATACAAAATCTTATAGATAACTTTACAGTCTGAGTGTATGGCTGAGTCAACTGGAATACGGCAACAACATGATTTCTTCAAGGACATACCACCAAAATGCCAGAGTGAGGAAATGAAATGACATGGGGTTTAACGTCCTACTGTTTTGCTCCTAAACTGGGCTAATGAAGACGGGCATACGCCATACAGTGTGCTATGAGGGAAATTTTGCACGGGCAAGCGGCGCTATGGCCTACTCTTATATTGAATTCCAACTGCCGAGGGATCTTTTATGTGCACACCAAATTGTACACGGGACCTTGGTTTTTCGTCCCATCTGAACGACTAGACAGCTGTCCTTGTCAGGCTCTCCGTCCTGCCAGAGTGAGGAATCCTGAGTATTGAACATGTAGCCTGTTCTTTACAGATTTAGTTGTTTGCTCACTAATATGTTGTTTCCCTCCTACTGCATTTGATAATCATTGAAAAAACATTAATTAAAAACTAGACTAATTATGACTATTAGTATTACTTATGATAATCTTTTGCATCAAATGGTGACAAAACAGTCAGAAAGCAACAGTTCTAAAGTACTTTTAAAGTTCACCTTTTATTTAGTTGACCATAAGAAGGAATTCCAATATTTTTGGTATTAGAGCCAAATTTGTGGCTAGCTCCAGTTCCTTGACCTCCATAAGATGGTCTACCAACTGAAGGTCTACCTGTTGATGGTCTATGTACATGCATAGTAGGTATACCAGATTGTCTACCACCTGTTGATACCCTGCCTGTTGATTGACGATTATTGACAGATAATCTGCTACCACTTGATGACCGTACATTACTACCACTTGATGATCTCTTTCCTCCCCTTGTCTGTTGATTTGGATCTTCATTGCGTACTCTCAGGGGTCCGACTGATTTGCGCATCTTTCTGCAACACAAATAATAAATCAAAAGTTTTGTAGGAGCTATTTCAGAAGATGTCCATCAGTCTAAAACCCTTGTCGATTGCACGCAATATACTGACTGAGTGGTAATGTTAGTAGTGAACAGATTTTGGCAATCTAGATATATTATTGGTGTAAGCCTACTCTACATTAAAGACCTAACTTCTGTACTTACTGGTTGTCTGTTCTCTTTTTATGTCTGAATAAAGCCACATATAAGACAAAAAACATTATTGCCAAATTGGCAAAGGAATGACATTTTTTCATTGGCATTGGGTAAAATAAGGTCATTTGAACTTTGAACAAAGCAAAGGGTTCTTAAAGATGTTGTTAGACCTTAGAGTAGTGTTCAATTAAACATAAACAGCGAAAAAGCATGAGTAGGCCTACTCAGTTGGCGTGCCCCTATGACTACCTTTCGTGGTGTGGTGATAATCATAATCTTTAAGTGGCATTTAGTGATTGGGGAACACAATAACAGAACACAATTTTTATGGGAAACAATCACTGGTTTTATTCTAATAGCACGACGTTTCGACGATAACGATAAGAGGATAGGCCTACTTGTCGAAACGTCGTGCTATTAGAATAAAACCAGTGATTGTTTCCCATAAAAATTGTGTTCTGTTATTGGTGATAATCATACATATTAATATTATTATTAATATTAATGACACTTATTATCATTATTATTAATGACACTACTGTCATACTGAGGGGGTGAATGACCGAATGGTTAGCGAGTGGGCATTGCGTCAACTGGCATGGTTTTGATTACCTGGTTGTACCTGACAAGGAGTAGGGTTGCCTGTCCAACCTCGTGGGTTTTCTCTGGGTCCTCCCACTGCTAAAGACCCCTATGCGCAAGCGAATTATTGAAATAAAATTGAACCATATGGGGATGCACGATTGAACGTTCCGGAATTGATCTGTCAAACCCAAAAATAGTGACAATCGAGTGAAAATGGGATTTTGGGCTAGAACGCATGCGCTGACTGCATGAGAAAATATCTAAACCAACCATGACAGCTGAAACATATTCATTAGGTTTAATTTATAATTAGGCCCTACATCACGATTCTACTCACACTAGTCACACCACCTCTGTTGTCGGGACTGACAGAACTGTGACAGGACTGAATTCCGCGTCACTCGATTGCAATTCCGGCAATTCGGAGCTTTCCGGACTGACAATCGAACACCCCCTATGTTTGTACCGAAATGACATACACAGCATACTGTACTGACTGATTGTGAATATTGAATGTGACACTCATAGCCATAGCCTAGGCCTAATTGACGCAGGTTTGAAAGAAAAGATTTGGCTTTGCTTGTTTCCAAGCCTTACCACATCATTTCGCGCCGACTATATGCAGTGAGAAGTTCGGTGATATTGCATAGGGATATTTTGCATATATTTCCTGAACTTTATATACAAACTATGTAAAAAATGAAATAGCTTCGAACATCAACAAACCCTGAATTTTATGAACTTGTTTTCAAAATTTTAATCGCCCCGCTAGAAATGTCAAGCATGCGCTATGCGCCAATATAACTACTTCCGTTTTGTGGTGATAAAGTTCTGCAGTGCTATCTTCGTAGGATTTATATTGTTTGTCATTATTAGCAAAGTATTGCGTGCAGATTACTATTTATATATTTCTATTGAAAAAATAACAGCCTAAAAATCTTTCGCATAATGCACTTTGGATAGATTTAAATCCCAATAATCCTATCCCATTTTGGCTTTGTTGATGCGCATTGCGCATGCGCACTAAAAGAAAGAAAATGGCTATGTTTTACTTGGGTTATAATAATTTTATGGCTTCTTATTTGACAAAGTTCCATTGATAACTGATTATATATGGGTATTTCGCCATACAGTGATCATCACATTCTTGTAAGTTTAAATTATAGATAGATTCAATGCTCTATGGCACATGTCTTGAGCTACATGGCAATCAAATTACGAAGGGTCTGCACAAGAATCTCAGAAAAGTGTTTCTTGTTGTGACATAAATAAGGGTGTCTTCCTAGGTTTTTCCACCTTTTCATTCACCCACGGCTTTGTTATGTATTTGATTCTCACGTAATATATATTCCACCATCATGTCTTTGCCATGTATATTATTTATATTATCCATGTGTGGTTGCTGTTAAATCAGTGCTGTGAATAACAAGGTTACAAGGGGTGCTTATTATTGTAGATAATTTTTTTTTTCTCACTTGGTACAGTTTATTATTATTTTCTGGTGACGAGTTTAACATGCCATATTTGCATCAACTGTTAAAACTACTGCTTTATGTAAGCCTGAATTTATGGACTCTTAACAGATGATTTAACAATGAAATAGTAATGCTCCAATAATTAAGATAGAAGCACCGCTAGCTTCAATTGTTCATTTGTTTACTTTTAGTTCCTTATTTATTCTATTACAGAAATTGTAGACCTATGTAACATTTCAGAGTAGGCCTAAATTATATTGGCTTTTTTTTGTATTTAAGAAGGTGTGAACATTATTCGAAAACTTTTTTATAAATACATCTAACTGTCATACTAGATCTGATCAATGAATAGATGAGACAATAATCCAATTTTAAACATGACTCATAATTGAAAGTCCCCAATCATCTGCTACCGTCAAGATGAATCAAAACCATTATGGATTGATATTTATTATAATTGGCCTTTTAACACCAGTTTAACCAATTGTCACTTGGCAGTTCCTGATTTATACTTCAGACAATATTTAAAAAATTCTTTATACTTAAACTTGAGACTATTTGTAAAGTAAGTTTTAGAGCTTTATCATGTGTTAATGTGTTCTAATTAACTGGTAATAAGTAATATTAAGTGCAATTTTTGTTTAATTATCAAATGTATTGAGTAATTGACTCCAAGAAAGTCTTGTGTTCCATATTGCTTTATTAGCTCTTTAGCTTCCTACATGTAAGCTTGAAATCATCAACTTTTAAAATACCATTTATAATTTTAATTAAACATACATCATGTATCTACCTTTCTCTAGTGCAGTTATGTACTAAAGCAAGCAAAGGCTGGCGTAACATTTGAAGGGACATGTTGTTATGCTGTTGATTTTTGGAATATGCTCAGACAACTTTGCTGTCTGTGGGTGTATGTTTGGTAGCCTTGGAACATATGTTTTAAAACTCACTCATTAGCACAGATTTTAGAAGTAATCATCACTAAAGAATCACATGTCTGTCCTGATCAATAATCCCTTTGAATGGATCTGGCGAATAATCAACTTGATGCATGTTGAATCTATTGATTTATTTATCCTGAGGTGTTTATTTTTCATTGTCCACTAGGCAGCAAAAAATAGATTATATCCATTGTCAGACCATTTATCTATGTCAGAGTATGTCTGAAATAAATCACTGACAAGAATATTTTTTCTCTACTTTTTATTTTTAGAAATTTATTGCAAAAAACTGTTAATCAGTTTGAATGATTACTGTCTCTGATCTGATCTAATCTGATCTAATCTACAGGAAATATTTACCAAGATCTAGGACGATTATCTTAAAATCTCTGTAATATTTTTTTTTACTAAGAAGACTACAAAGGCATGTCACAGACAAGAAAATCAGTGGAAATGCAGTGTTAGCGACAGTCAAATTTTCAAAATCAAAAGTTTAGTACCGCTATGTACTTCCCACCTTTGCTGCAGACTATATATTTGCATAGCTACATGTAGGACTATGCCCCCCTCTGTTATTCAGATGTTCACTAAACCACTGTTTACTACTCTTGTATGGATTACACACACACATACGTATAAGCTTATACTAATATATGTATGAAATATAATTTATGTATAGGATGTGATATACCATAGCCTGTACCACAATCATCCCAAGTAAAGAGATGAATAAAAATAAAATTAGTCTTAGGCAGTTTTCTTTATTAGGATTTTTAAACTTGTTTCATTATAACTGTTTGGGATAATGGTATATTTCAATAAGGATCTTCTAGTTCTAAAAATTGAAATTTACACACCTCTATTTTTTTTCTGAAATCTTATTCTTAGGACCAAATGTTTGTACTTTTTGAAGCAAGCAATATGTCATACATAATAAGCTTAGGTGTGTATATATATATATACATTGATGGAAAACAAAGATAATTGGATGTGTATGTACATGTAGTTTAAACTTTGCAATTACATAATGACTTGTGGATCATAGATCATAGCTCTATTCTGTTCTATGTTACATAAGTACATTTGTATCAGACAGTGAATAGGGTAACAGGCTTAACCATTGTGTATTATCAGGTTGTCACATTGGCTAACTTCATTTTATTATCCCGTGCCGAACAATTGAAATGGGCTCTGTCAGTGTGTCTGTACCGATTTCATTTTCAGAGCATATCTCATAAACCATTCAAGATATCTTTTTGAAACTTTGTACACACCCTGCCTTGTCGAGCTACTGTGAGCATAGTATGAATCTTCTGACTAGTCCCTTTGATATTCCAAGAAGTTGTTTTTCCTTATGCCTTCCAAACAAGTGTAAGGGCGCGGGATGGTAATGCCTAGTCATCTTGTTCCTATTGAAACACATTGCAACGAAATGAATTAAATCAAGATTTCAATGTTACAAACCTGTTGCATTATACGGAGAATATGTGATCAGTACGTTTTTCACCTTACATACGAGTTGGATTGATTTTAAGCTGATATTTAGTCATGTCACATCAAATGTCTTATTTCACTTCAGGATGAGGAGCAGTGAAGAATGGCGACTCCTGACAGAGAAATAAATATAAACGTTCAACTTTTCAAAGAGTTGAGTGACAAATATCCGAAAATACCAAAGGAGATTGTTTCTACCCATTTAAGAATGGTAGGTAGTAAAAGATAAGTATGTAAATATATGTACACTGACAGGTTAGAAACAGATAATGATCAGTTAGTATGTAAAAAAAAATATCAATCTAGTTAAAATTACCGGTACTTGTAAGTCAATTTAATATTTTTATTTTTCTTTCAGACTGGTAATGACAGAAATCAGTGTTTACAGATTCTACACGATTTAAGTCAACAATATTTATATTCAGGAGGCCATCAAGCAAATGTTTCTGGAGGATTTGGTAAAGTAAACATTAATAAGAGCTCAGAATCCAAGCCTTCAGTTTGTATAAGTAATCAGAATACAGATAGTTTTGGATCTTGGATTGCAAATACCGGGACATTGAATACTGGTCAACATACTCAAACGGCTGCATTCACTGCCCCAGTTGTTCCTGGAGACTTTGATCCCTTTGTGGATGCTAGCAATAAGCCTAGTTCAATTCCAAATATAAACTGTACAGTGCATAGGTCAGAAAGTTCACCGAGTGTGTCGCAAACTGTTAAAAAGTTTGAAGTGGGTTCTGGATCTAGTAATACTACAAGTCCAGTGACTGGTAAAAGGCCAGTGCCAGTTATTCACTGTGCCCCTTCTAAACCTAGTGATATTGGTCCAGGTGCTCTAATAACCAGTAGTACTTCTTATCAGATTCATACAAAAGTAAATAGCGGTGGTACATGTACTGTTGTGGACCCTTTACACTCTAAAAAGTATCATATTCAACAAGAAACCGGTCAAACGTCTATGAACAGTTCTCCCAATAAAATACATTCTTCACAGGCTAAAATAATGATCAACCAACCCAATAATGGACATCATAATCCAGAGACATCTTATGTGCGGAAAAATCAGTATCCACCTTCAGTTTATAGCAAACCCTTATTTGTGCAAATAAAGAGTTCTGGACCAGAAGGCTCAGAGACTCACCTTAAGTATAATTATTCTCCTAATGTTCCTGAGAATCAACTTCCGTCTTATGTTAGCCCAAATGTAGTAAGTGCCCAAAATCGATATCCACCAAACCAATATCCCCCAACTCCGAGCTTACATGTTGCACCTGTAAATCAAACTAGTATAAGTCCAAACTCAAGCCCTTATATTTCTTACCCTACCAGTGCTGGTATAAATCCACACTTAAGTAGCCGGACTAATAGTGTAGAATCCGAACATAATGTATTTGTGGCACACGGAGAAATGGTTCACCCAATGGGTTATGCAATGTCACCAGCTTCTAGTCATAGCAGCCTTAGTTCAGAATCCTCAGCGCATATACCAAATCCAAGACCTAGTTCTGGCAGTTCGCAAGAAGATAAGGAATATGTTAGAGGTAAATTCATTGCAATTATATTACTTAAAGCCACATATCATCATTTGAAGGATTTTGAATTCTATGCACACTACAATATCAGGGCTTGCCACGAGACGCGAGTAATTACTCGCGCGCACGCTACACTCGCGTAAAACCAAATTTACGTGAGTGATTAAGTACTCGTGCAAATATAAAAAATAATTTAATCAGAAATAATTGAATATCGTAATATAAAAAGCCGTAAACAATTTGTATGCCTTCATATCGATGCACTGTTGCGCACGCGGCGTGTCTTTCCAGTGCCAACTGTTGTTACTAAAAATACTTTGAGACGTGTACTGCCAGGCGGTTTTTAAGCGGATGTCCTTTGCCGTGTCTGGATAATCAAACATTGAGCGGATGTTGTCGTTTCTATTAATAGCAATTCTTTCGATCCCGCATCTTTTCTGCAAATTGATGGGATTGAAATTGTTTTGCCTGTTCTTTTACCTTTCTAAGCTTTACCCGAATCCCCTCAGCACGCCAACGATGGCAAAGGGAAGCCCAGTTTCTCTTGCAACGTTCTTGTCATGGGAAGACGATTTACAGATAATATTACTGCCAAGGAAATAAAAGAGTATGCATTGTCATTGTGTGTGAAATAGCTTTATTCAACGTCCGCTTCCACCGAAGTGACAAGAGCATTGCCATTAGGCACATGAAATTTAAATGGCTACTCACGCACATCATTCTGCGTGAGTAAATACATGTACTCGCCTCACTCGCGCAAGTCTATATTTGCGTGAGTAGTCATCTACTCGCCTCCAATTTGCTCGTGGCAAGCCCTGCAATATTGTGAAAGTTGTATCTCTAGAAGGAATATCAGTCTGAATAAACAAGCTAGATGGATTCCATGCTGGGATAATTTCATGTTTATACAGTTGATAATTATTTTTTTATAATTAGATGTTAAATTATCAATTTTCAGTACATTATAGCACTGATTAAGCCTTGAAAATGCTTTAAAAATTATGAAATGCTCAGACCTTTCATTTGAGGTACGCTCTTTATTGCTCACCTCAATAGTCTAAATCAGGAAAAATATACTGGTAACAAAAAATACTGTCAGTCTCAACATTTTTTTACTTAAGATTGATTACTTTCATTTGATGTGAGTAACTCGCACTGATCTGTATAACATAAATTAAGGTCGTCGATATCTTTTGAATGTTTACAAGTCTTTCTTTACTAGTCTTACATTCGGACATATGAAATAGACAGCGGGTGTAGCTGGATCTGGTTAAGTTAGTCTATATTGTGGTTGACCGTAATATAACAGGACAGTTCATTGGATCATTTGACTGACTGTGGTTTTGGCAACTTCGACTTTAGTATGGAACTGTGTGCATAAAATTTCTGCCGGTGCTGAAAGTTCCCCAAATCTTTTTCTGTCCAGCTGAAAGCATGTGGAGTACAGGTGGTGGTGGGGGTAAGTCAGTATCAGCACGGACACAAATAGGAATCTTACCTGCATTTGTGAAGACATCTCGGCATGGAGTACGAAACTCTGGATTCGTGCCGTCTTCAAAGGTTGATCCGTACAAATTCCAGGTAGATATTAAAATAATAATTGGATCATACATTGCATTTGATGGTTTCACTGACCAGTTGTTAGTTAAAGTAGCTAAATCTCTAACTTAATATCATCCAAAGTATTGCCCATTGAAAACATGAATTATCTGTCAATTTAAATCAACATTGATGTTGTGATCTGACTGGGAAAATATGGGCTTCTGATATCCAATATTTAAGACAAAATAAACATTTTACCATTGGTACATGTACACCAATTGTGTAACATAATGCGTTTCAGCACCATTTTTACAAGCACAAGGAACTCAAATAACGAGACTAGACATTTTTCACAAGTCATTTAAATTAAGATAGTCATTGAATAATCCCTTGATAGAACACCAAATATTCCAAGAAACTGTCATTAATAATATATTTTTCCATCAGGATCTCCATAATGCTGATTCCCGATGACCCGTGACATGCATCGGTTGGAATTAGGTCAATAAACCAGTATTGCTAGATATAGTTTTAAATAGCGTTTACCGTTATGCTTTTTTATTTTATATTTTATACACATTCTGACCGGGACTTGAACTTTAAGCTGGTACATGAATTAAATGTTGAAAATTTTCAGAAATTTGTAACTATTTGTGGTTATTTTTTGTGATAATCACATATATTAGCCTATTCAAAATATGTCATTCTCCGTAACAAATTACCTAGAATTATTTATGTTGAAGTCTGCTTAGTTAACGGGATCTTATAATAGGCCTTATTACCCTATTTCCAACCAGGAACTCGTTTGACACAATTCTGGCCAGTTCGTTTTAAAATGGATAAAGATCTGTGTTTTAATCCCAAATGAAAAAAAGCTCTCCTCTAGAGATTCTGGAGAGCGATTATCCCTTTTTCCAATTTATTCACATGAAGGCCTGCACCATGATCTGATTTCTATTTAAATACATTTGTACGATATTGGAAGTGTTGTTAAAAGGTTTTGACAACATGTTTTTATATTTGATTTTTATTTTTCAGCTTTACTATATCATCAAAGGCAACGATTAGAAAATTTAAAGCGTGATTATAATGAAACTAAAAAAGAAACTGAGAAACTAAGACATGGTGTAGCTCAAATGGAAAAGAATATGTTAGAAAACAGTAATAGAAGAAATAGTTTTCCTACGGTAAAAAAATTGAATTTTTATCTATTTATTTATTTAATGTTAATGTTATAGAGGCATTATGCCAGAGCTAAATCTGACTATTGCAGTTCTATTTCATGGCTTCATAAAATACATTTATTCACATGACAACCACATAATCAACTCTCTAGACCATCATATGGCTTAGATTTAGAGTGGATTAGACATTGTCCACCATACATGTATCTGCGTTAAAACTATAATATGAACACCACTCATTGAGACCGCTGATTGAAGGACTGAAAATTGAGACTTTGTGTATTATCTTGGCAATGGTACTTGACAGTCAAGACCATTTTACTATTTAGACTATTTCTTGCCAAAACTTTAAATATTCATAACTTCGTTCAGAATAAAGTAATTTGACTGAAATTTTCAATATACCGGGTGTTCATTTTTATTTATCTACTTTAAAACTATTATAGTAAGAATGGCCAGCTCTATCAACAAATCTTACATAATGTATTAGATAAATGTTTTGAAGAATCTTTGATATTTGTTGTTTATTTTTTGCAATTTCCACATGAATGTACTCTGTCTTGTCTGCAGGTACATCTTGTAGGTTATGTTTTGCGTGTAGTGCGGTCCTCCTGAACTTACTATTAGTGAATATGATAGATACATAATAATACTGTATTATATATGTACAGTCTGACAAAATGTTTCATACCTTATTTTCTGGTAATTGACGCTAAATTCACAGAATTGAAATGAAATGAGGGTTTAAAGTCCTACTGTTTTGCACCAACATGGCTAATGAAGACGGGCACATGCCATGCATTATGCTACATTGTATGAGCATTGTTCAAAACTCTGCCTTCAGAAATAGGGGCCCTCAGGAGCCCCCATATTGTTGGTGTAGGGTGCCCGCAGTGAAATCAGGTAAACAAAAATGTAACAGTAACAAACAGGAAAATAACTAGACTTTGTTGCATAAATAAATGTATAGATAATGTGAAAATAACTTATAAACTTAATAAACTTTTTAATTAATCATCAGATAATTCATCGTCTTTATTGTCGTCACTCTTCTTTATTTCAAAATTTCTTCTTTCGTTAAAAAGACAAATAAATACCCAACTTGCCCGTAGAAAAATTATTCCAACATAGCCTACATGTATTACCATGTGCTCTATAGTAACCCATTGACCTTCATAATCTTGCTTTCAATTACAATAACTTTGAAATGAAGATGAATATTAAATTATTCACAGCATATTTCTCACATTTGATATCACATTTAGACCATCTCTTGCGGCATTATGCAGAATTGTGATGTAAATTCTAATATTGAATAACAAGCTTACTTCACATATTATTAGACTTAATAATATAGACTGCTAAGACTAAGTGTTTTACTATGTTTTTGACAGACCATATAATTGAGTCTATTGTTGTTCATAGAAAATACTGTTTGGTATGAAGGCAATATTAATTGTTATAGGTAACTTTTTGAAATTTTGATAAACGCTTGATATTTAGAGCCTTACCACTGGAGAAATAGTTATCATTTAAATGGGAATAACTGAAGTGTACACTGACCAAAACAGAGCTTTAGTGACCTACACTGGCTCTCATTTGATTTCATTTTAAAGATTCTTTGTCAGACGTTTCTGTGTACTCCGATCTAGTTCAGAATTACACTTCAAGAAGAAATAAAGTTGACATCCCAACATCATAATCAATTCATCATTCAAGATTGAATAAAGTTGTAAATGTTAAAAGCCAACTAAAAAAATCTGTTACAAGAGGTCTTTAATTTTTTTTATTGTGTGACTGTTCTTTGTGATATTCCAGCTCAGAAGTATCATTTTTTTGAAAGCTTAAAATCTGTAGGACAAATACTGTCTGGCAGAAATCATTTCCCTAATTTCTGTGAATTTATGTTTTAGATTGAGGATGTAACTAAACTACGAGAGGAAAATAGACGTTTACAAACAGATATACAATGTATGGGTAATGAAGTGGACACGAAAAAGAATGGGCAAGGTATCAGTTTTTTTTTTATTTACATTTTCAAAATAAGACAGTCATTTAATTTTCTTGTTTAATTCCATTGACAAATTGTCTTTCACTGGGAAAACTTTTGTTGCAAGAATATTAATAACTGACTCTTGAGCCACACATGTGGTACATGTATGTTCCCTGAAAAATTGGCTGTCTTGTTTCATTCTGCAAATGACAGAAATAAATACTTAAACATACATTATGCAAGAGCTAAATCTGCCTATTGCAGATCTTTCACTAGGCCTGAAATGTTATCTAAATTATTAATTAGACATTAATTAACTTATGCAGACCATTATCAACTCTTGATGGCATTGCTAGCCTACGATGTTTATTGGATTATGTACCGATTTGCTGTTCAACTTCCATTCATAATTAAATAAAAAATGGATATGGATAATCAAGTATATGTTTTTTCTCCTACCGACTTTAGTAATGATGATCGAGGCCAGCCCCAATATTCAATCGCTAAAATCTCGGTTCACAGTGGATCAATTTGACTGAAATTTTCCGCAAATTGCCTTTGCATTATCTAGTTTTTAACTATTATAATGAGAATTGCCAGCTCTTTAACTAATCTCCCATAATGTATCTTTAAAGAAAGGCTCAATAAGTTTGAATAAGCCAGGCAATTTATATGATTTAGATATGGTCAGTCTATATTCAGGTCTAAAGATTGGGGTCATACTTTTTTATCTATTGTTGTTTGTCCAACCACAATTCTTCTAAAAGGGTTTTTATGATAAGTTTTTTAAAAACATAATTGGATTGTTGGGCTAGTCATACAAATCAACTTTGTTAAAATTCAGTTTGTTGCTACAATTTTTCACAAATTTACGATTCCAGTCAGTGAAACCTTTTAAAACACACTACAGGTTAGACTGTTTGAGATTTTTACTTCAAACTTATTCGTAGTTTTTGGCTAATTCTAAACTATTTTGAAATTCACAGTTACTGACCCAACATCAAAGCCTTTCCACACAGAGTTTTTGAGATTATTCTTTTCCAAACTCTATCGAGCTGTCCATAAAATTTATGTATTGTTTAATGGTCGAGAGCGAGACATTAAGTAATATATTGTAACAACAAGAGGGCTGTGAGGCCTGAGTGTTTTTACAATATATTACGCAATGTCGTAAGCTCGAGACCATTAAACAACTTAAAATACAGACACTTGCACATGCTTTGCAATGAAATACGTCACTCGGGTTTAATATTTTAACTAGTTACACTTGTCACATTGCTCGTACGATTATTTGAAATAATGGTAAGCCAAATGACTTCACATCTGTATTTTAAGCATAGTTATTGTCACTGACCCTGAAAATTTGAAAGCCACCACATTTAAAATGCGGCAAGTGACCTTATATTTGTTGCCTGGGTGATTCATATTATGAATGCTTCTTTCTTCCAGGTCCATTTAGTATAATTGATCCAATAGATCAGCAGAACTTCTTTAAAAATATGCCAACAGGTCCATCAGGCCCCATAGGTAGTCGACCGCCTCGTAAGTTCAATTTATTTATTATTATTATTAACAATATAGCTGGTGTCTTTTAGTTGTGAATTATCCCAAAAATAATTTTGATTTTTAGTCAGATGCTTATGATTCTGTTACATAATCAGTTTTCCTCAAACAACTGTTTCAGTAGTTGAAAAATCTGGAACAATTGACTGTGTTGCCAAAAGATATAGGAAATGGTGTTTATTCTGTTCTACTTTTCTGAGCTAACCAAGCTAATGAGCACAGACTCACACCATTCTGTTTGCCATGACAGACATTTTAAGTAGACAGATGCTATTCCTACACCACAGACAAGTGGATACATAAGACAACTGAAATTTTATGACTTCCAAAGTTATTTCAATATTGACATCACCAGAATTTTTTTGCTGAAAATCGGTAAAATATCGTTTTCAGTCTTAACATGATTTTTGGAATATAGTCAGTCTTAACATATTCAAATTAAAAAAATTTTCATAGAGTGTATGATGGGTTGATTAGCATGGTTTAATGTTTCACACATTCAGATGTTATAGGAGAGTTGTGCACCAATTGATTCAATTGAGTTCTTGAGAAATTGAGTATAAAAGTTATGAATTCCACAGAAATACTTAAGCCATTGATTTTGATAAACATTTATGTTGCTATTTTGTTGATCGTGTTGCCATGGTTGTTTTTACAGGTCCACCAGTTCCTCCTCCTCCTCACATTTCTACACCTCCTGGTAATATAGATATCAATCAAGTACCACCGGTGCCACCTCGTCAACCCTCTGCTGGTTCAGGGGATTCAGAAGAAGGAGAACAATGGAACTGTTCAGCTTGTACTTTCCTAAATCATCCAGCACTGAATAAGTGTGAATGCTGTGAAATGCCTAGGATAGGTATGGCACGCCCACATAATCATAATTCCCATGAACTATGCTACTGTCATGATCATTGATTCTTTCTTAATTACAAAAAATTGCAATTTGTGATGATCTGTTTAATAAATTATTATTATTCGCTACTTTCATACTAATTTGCATATTAATCAATTCTGATAGTAATTAAAGATTAACTGAATTAACAAAAATATTATATACACTTGTCACTTATTGTTCTGCTACCATTCTTTATTCGTTTTCCATTCAACATATTGTCTTTCATCTCATTATTTAAAAGCGGGGTACCAAGAACAGATTTTGTCTATCAAAATATTTCATGATATATTTTCCCATATGTTCAAATTTGATTTAAGCGTAAACGCATCATATTTAAAATGATACTGTTAAACAAGAAATAATTCTTAATAAAATTGATGTGTCTGGACGGGATTTGACATTAATGTACACTGAAATTATTGCATCTTCTCTTACAAAATTATGATGAAGTGACCTTTTGAACATAGAACTAATATCAGATAATTATGTCATTATTATGTTAACACAGGCTTTGATTAATTCATCTTATTATGTTATCACAGACTTTGATTAATCTTCATAGGTTCATTCTTTGTTTTGTGTGGTGTTAATGTTTGACGAAAAATGCCGATTTGCTTGTGGAACTATCTGTATTTCAATTTGTTATGTAACAAAATATAAATGTGTATTAAAATTAACACATTAATATTTTGCTTGCATTTATTTCGTTTTTTTACAGCCTCTGTAACAGTTTAAAACAAACTAATATTCTAAACATGTCACTTCCAAGAAGAATATAATCTTTCTAAAGATATGTCCTGAATATCTCACTTTTGCTATGATGTACTGGATTTCTATTTCTATTTATGTATCAGTAATATTATACTTTGGTAATGGACCACACAATTCTCAATTCAATTTTAATCCAAACCAATTTAATTGTGTTGAGTACTCTAAAATGCACATTTTAAAGCCAGCACTGTAAGTTTTGTTCATAAGATATGATATTTTTTTGTCATTGGGGTTTTAAACTACATATTAATCACCAAAAAAAATACCAGTTTTATTTACCAACTATGTTCCAAACTTGGCCCAAAAGCACGATATTAAAGGGTGCTGATGACAACAAAAGTCAAATTTTTTCAATTATGCCTGCATGGATTTTCATCAAATTTGGCATTCAGTTTTTTGGAAATTCTATAAGTTCATTATAAACGACATTTCAACACCAAAAACATTAAAAATATCTACTCAAAGTATTTTAAAATTTTTATTCATTATTTACCTGAAAACAAGATTTTGTGATTTTCGGTAAATTCTTTGAACGCATCCACAACATCTTTTAAAATACAACAATTCAGGTGTAAAAAGTAACTATTTACTTCAGTGCACTACTCCGCCGCTCTCAAAATCATTTTATACATTCAAAAATGGTAGTTTTAGATCATCAAAAAAAAGAAATTCAGCAATGTTGCAGTCGCGATAGACCTGAATGATCGCTTCTTAGAGGGAATTCCTTCTGAAGTGACGTCAATGGTCCAGTGCGAAACTGTTGCTGGAGACAGCCATGATCGTTTACTATGGATCATGTCACAGATGTGTACGACGTCATGATTTATTTGAGAACTGATCTAGGTCGTGGGAACCTTCTTGTTTGCTGGGTGGGTGGTATTTTACACATTCTTCATAAGATTTGTGTTGAAAAATTAGTGGGCAAGGGGGGGGGGGGGGATGGCTGAATGGTAAGCATGTGTGTGCTGTATCATAAGGCCTGTCATTGAGTCAACTGGCGTGGTTTCGAATCCCCGGTTGTACGTGACAAGGATTAGGGTCGCCTGTCCAACCTCATGGGTTTCTCTGGGTCGCCCGGTTTCCTCCCACTTCCTCCCTACGCGCACGTTAGTGTTTATCTTAGACTAGTCAACACCTTTAATTTTTAGTTCTTTGGGATTTGATAAATAAATAGCAACTTGATTTGCATGAACAATGTTTTGTTTACAATTGTTTAAATTTTTGGAACTGAAAGCTATTGAGGAGAGCAACTAAGTACTTTTTGTTTTTATACGCCCACATTTTCATGTGGACGTATATTGTTGTCGCCCCTGTCCCTCTGTCAACAATTGTTTGTGGACACTCTACAGGTCACAATTTTTATCTGATTTCACCGAAACTTGAAATATAGGTTTATCCCCCTATGATCTTGATTACTTTCAATATTCGCATGTATCGGATCGTAACTTTATAGTTTATGGCCCCTGATTGTACCAAAAATTGCATTTTTAGCTTGTGGACCTATAGAGGTCACAATTTTTATCTAATTTTGTTGACATTTGAAATGTAAGGTTATAACCCAAAGATCTTGGTTTCTTTCGATATTCGTGCTGCGTGCATATCGGACTATAACTTCCTGATTTATGGCCCCTGATTGTATGAAAAATCATGTTTTTTAGCTTGTGGACCCTATGGAGGTCACAATTTTATTCCGATTTAAAAAAATATATCACCGTTACACCTTAATGACTGGTGAGTTCGATTTCGTGAGAATCGGACCAAAACTGCCGGACAAAATGGCCGCCCCTCGAACGCAAACAGTGTAAAAAATATAGTATATCAAGGTTGTGGTCAGTTGTGGACCCTCTAGAGCTCAGAATTTTGATCCAATTTTGATAAAACTTAAAATACATGTTTATAACCCAAACTTCCTGAATTATGGCCCTTGACTGTACGAAAAATCGTGTTTTTAGCTTGTGGTCCCTCTAGAGGTCACAATTATTATCGTTACACCGTAATGATGGTTGAGTAGGAATTTCGTGATAATCGGACCAAAACTGACGGACAAAATGGCTGCCCCTCGTATAATGCAAATGGTGTAAATATGTGGTATATCAAGGTTGTAGACCCGCTAGAGGTCACAATTTATTTTCCGGTATAATGCAAACTTAAATTTATGCTTATATCATAAAGGTCTTGGTTCCTTTCAATATTCGCACATATCGGAATGGTAACTATGGCCCTTGATCGTATGAAAAATTGCGTTTTAAGTTTGTGGTCCCTCTAGAGTTAACAATTTTTATCCAATTTAAAAAACCTTTTGAATATATCACCGTTTCACCCTAATGATGGTTGAGTTCGAAAATCGGACCAAAACTGCTAGACAAAATGGCCTCCCCTCGTACGCTAATAGTGTAAAAATATGGTATATCAAGATTGTGGACTCTCTAGAGGTCACAATTTTCACCCGATTTTGATAAAACTTGAAATGCATGTTTATAACCCAAAGATTTTGTTCCTTTTGATATTCGCGCATATCGGATCATAATTTCCTGAATTATGGCCCCTGATTGTGCCTCTAGAGGTCACAATTATTATCTGATTTATAAAAAGTTTCAATATATCACCATTACACCGTAATGTTGGTTGGGTTCGAATTTCGTAAAAATCGGTCGAAAACTGCCAGACAAAATGGCCGCCCCTGTACACAAATAGTGTAAACATCTGGTATATCAAGGTTCTAGACCCTCTAGAGGTCACAATTTTGATCCGATTTTAATGAAACTTGAAATGCATGTTTATAACCCAAAGATCTTGGTTCCTGTCGATATTCTCACATATCTGATCGTACCTTCCTGAATTATGGCCCTTGATGTTACGACAAATTTCTTTTTGTTTAGCTTGTTCTCTATCCATCTCTTGAAAAATGTGGGCGTATCCTGCCTGGAAGCCGCTGGTTAAATTGTTTTTTTCCTCAATATGTGTTCCCAAACAACAAAAATTCAGATTTGAATGAGCTTATTAATAAACAATTTAATGACAAATGGCTAATAATATATAGTAAAAGTTGTGTAATTAATTGCAACTAAAGCTATTTTATTTTGTTGGATTCGGTGAGGTCAGAACCAAAAGTTAGCAACAGTATCTAGCATTACTATTAATCCTGAGGTCTCTAATTCTGAGATAACAAAATTACACACTGAAATATATATTAAATCTGTTTTCATGCTTATGATTACATCTTAGCTGATAATTCAACATTTGACTCTTTGTATTGACCTCAATCAAATTACTGACATCTTAACTTTAATTTAAAGCAAATGAACACTTAAGTATTGAGCCAACACTTTTGGTACTTTAGTTTTTTGGGAATGTAAAAAGTTTTTATATTATTGAAAGCCTGAACAAGATCTGATATTTCAACACATCATCGTTCTGTGAGTAACACAAGTGTTATTTCAATCAAACTAGTGTTATCCACTGTTGATAACAAAGAAAATGAAGACTCAACATCGCCCATATTGGCTTGGCATCAAAGGTCTAAAACATTGGCTAAAAGCATTATTTAGGACAAATCTAAGAATTAAACTTGTATTATGTTGATGTTACACTAACACTAATTTGGACATCACCCATTATATTATATATTTTATTTTAAAATGATTTTGTATACAAACCAATGCTGTAAGCTTAAAGAAAAAAATATTTACAGATATATTTTTAACATATATAATACCTGCAGAAAGTCCATGTACATTTGTACATTCTATTTTTATTATACAAAAACCTATTTCACATTGCACTTTCTATTGCAGTTTTGCTACTAATCATCTTTATATTTTATTATCTAAAACTGTGCACACAAATGCTTATATTCACTTCTAACATGACATACAAAGCTCAATTGGTTACAAATCTTTTTTTGCTAGCCAAAACACAATTTTTCCTCTATTGGCAATCTGCAGGTGAACATAACATTTTTATAGAAAAACAGAATAATTTTACAAATATAAACTTTTTTTTTTTTAAACTGTATATGGTTCAAAGTTAAGCAAGAGCATGTTTTATCAGAAGTGAATTTAGGTACAGTTATGAAAATAACTCTTTTTCTGTGGATGTCAGTGGTGCTTTTCAACTTCACCTGCTTTTTATCTTGGCTTGCAAGTGTTTATCTTTGTTTTTATGGAGTCCTGGCTATATTGGGAGTATAATTAAACAGGTTAAAATTCTTTAAAAGGAATTAGAAACTTCTTTGCACTAATAGTAATAATAAAATGTATTCTTAACAGTGCAGGCATTTGATCACAGTCGACTGTATATAAACACAAGTGAACAGTGTGCATGATTGTAGTCTGTATTATTGTGTCTTAGTAGTGTATTATTGTTAACCAAAGTATCAATAATTCCAGACATTAGCGAGTATTAGTCTAGACAAAATAGCATCCATTGAGTATATGGTAGCTTGATATTTGCGTATACAGTTCAATTTTCTCAATCCACCAGTTAACAATGTACATTTAAAATAAAATGTGACCATCAATTTCTCTCACAACCAATCATAAGACATACAAGAATATCAGTATGATCTTCGACACTATGCAAATTTAGTGGTATTTTGTCCATACTAGATTTATTGCAGTAGAGGTAGAGATAATATTGACTAGCATGTTAACCTTTGAGAAATTATACTCTCAAATGACTTACTTTCAAGGCTTGGAAATAAACAGACAATGTCAGGCAAATATTCAGGCTTTGTCAGGCACAATCCCTCCATCTAAAACATTTTGAGTACATGTCTGGCATAAAGTTCAAAATGTCATATACTTGTTCATTATTTCAAGGCCTGGCTATAAGAATCGAATATTATGCATAATGATTCATAGAAATAAAATTTTAAACAGGGATGAAGTAAGTGGTTTACCTTTCACAGATAATCATCTTATGGTAGATCTTTTTTTTTTTTACTTTGCAGCAGGTTAAAGTTTTGTGTTTCTCTTTTTCCCTTCATAATTTTATTTCATTTTATCATATGTGTTTTTGTTTCTTCGTAGGTTCTTGATGTTGTGGCTGTTTGCACTTGATCTGCCTAGGGTGGCCTGGTTACCTAACATCCTTATCAAGGTGTGCATGGTACTACCCTTCCAAAACTGGCATGCTTGTTATCTTTATTTCATTTAAATATACATCAGTGTAGGGACGAGGATAGAATTTAAGAAAAATAGTTGATACAAAATGATGGAATTAAGAATCAATTTTTATAAAATTGTTAATTTTTTTCATGTATATTTTTTATCAGTGATTGTCATCTTTTGTTATTCATATTTTTGAAGATTTTCATATTTTTGATCAATTAATTGCTTTGATTTCGTACACTTGTGTAGTAATTGTGTGATAATGTCATTGATCTCATATAACATGTTGTCACACTCCATCAAATAATACCATTTCCCCTAGTTTACTACTCTGTGAATTCTTTCCAATAAAAGTTAGCCTATATTCTAAATTTTATTGATGAAATTTTGTTAACAAGTATATTATGTAGATCACCATGGTGTTAGTTTAAATAGTAGAAACCTCAGCTTTGGTAATGGATCATTGTGGAAAGGCTTATTAGATTCAATTACTGTAAGACATGAATTCATTGTTTGCATGAAATTATCGCAAAAAATTTGCCCATGAACTGAGATTGCATTAATTTCATGACACATAACCTATTGCAATTTAATATTTGGCATAATTTTCATGACACAGGTTAGTCCACCATAGACCTTTAATTTTATAGCACAATAACTTCATGTATTACAGTATTATTTTTCATGATCAAGTATTATTACAATCATATACATGTATTGGGATTCTTTCTGAGTTATAAAATTATATTAAGATACATTAGATGAATGATGCTTAAAAGCATGAATAATAATTACGTAAATATATATAGCATGGATATTTGTGCATATTGGTACATCCAGGTCATATCTAAATGTTGATGCATTATTTCCATGCTCCTATTAAACTACCTGTATCATGAATGTTACAATATTCATTCCATCCTAAATGCAGTAATATGTAAAAAGAAAGTGCCTTGATAAAAGTTCATACAACAGCATTTTCGAAAGCCAATCATCAGACATTAATGATGTGACAAAATTATTTGGTTAATGATTTCAGATGGGATATCCACATGTAGTATAAAATGGTTGTAATACCCTGTAGCTGAATGTACAAATCTATGAATTATGTTTATTATTAGAATTTTAAGATATTGCCTTGGGTAAAATGACTGTCAAAACTTTAAGTACCTTGTCAAAACAAGATATAATTGTGCATGCATGTGGTTCATTTTTTTCTTTACCAGGAATATAGAAATAAAGGAATAATCAGACCTTTTGCTAAACATCAGTGAAAATTTACCAGAAAAGGATTGTTTGAATTTTAACTCTTAAGTACTTGATGTATATTTAATCTGAATTATTAGAATGATATAGCAGATATATTTCATATAGAAATTTCGTTGTAAACAGTTAAAGATAAATTAATAGTTATCTGTTCAAAATGGGTTTTACTTTTTTTGCTCAATGCAAAATATACACATACACTGTTTTCTAGAATATATTGTATAGTTTATTTGTAATATATTAATTGATTATTAATTATGTATAATAATAAGCATCATAGGCTGTGTTTTGTTTTAATTGTGTTAGTGCCAAAGTAGGGTTCTGTTCAGAAAGATAAGTAATGAGGTAGATAATTACATAATTTCTTAATAGAAAAATGTTGTTTAATCAGATGGACATATCAAATACACACTCTTTTATTATTAACTTTCATTCATTCAGATATTTAAAAAAAAAATGGATCTTTTCTACCATAAATTTCGTAAACACTTGAAAAAAGTGTTGCTTTGACTTTCTAATGTTCTTGCAGTTGTACACAGTTTCTGATGCTCTCATGTAGGGATATATTATTCATACATCCACTTCCTAATTCTTTTTTTTATATCTGATTTTTTCTAACTGAACATTCGAAACCAAGATAATGCTACATTTATAGAGGCATTATATAATAAGAGCTAAATCTGCCTATTGAAGATCGTTTTCAAATTTTATTTAAAGATACATTATGGGACATTAGATAAAGAGCTGGCAGTTCTCACAATAATAGTTAAAAACTAGATAATGTGAAGGGAATTTGCTGAAAATTTTAGTCAAAATTGATCCACTCTGGACCAAGATTTTACCGATTGAATTTTCAGTCTAGCCTTGATCATCATTACTAAAGACGGTATAATACAAACCATAGTCTCGATTATCCATTTCATGATTAAATCATGAATGTAAGTTTAGCAGCAAATCGGTTCCTAATTCAATAAATATTGCAAGCTGGCGTTGACATCGAAGAGTTAATTATGGTCTGGATAAGTTAATTAATGTCTAATTAATAATTTAGATAACATTTCAGGCCTAAAAAAAGATCTGCAATAGGCAGATTTAGCTCTTGCATAATTTATGTTTAAGTTATTATTTAGACGTTTATTCACATGACAAGCCCATAACCAACACTCTAGACTATCGGATGGCTGAGATATTGAAATTTTAAATGGATACCGATAATCAAGACTTTGTTTATTATCAAAGCAATGGTGTTTGACAATCAAGACTATTTAACTTATATCGTGTCAAAACTTCAAACTCTCATAACTTTTGCTCAGAAAAAAGTAATTTGACTGAATTTTCAATATATTCATTTCTTATGATCTATTTTTGAACTATAGCAAGAATGACCAGCTCTTTATCTAAATCTTGCATAATGCTTCCTTAAATGGCACTTATAATTTTTAGTAAAAATCTGTCCATTGTTTCAGTTCAGACTAGTCTAAAACAAAAGATTTACCACACTTAGCTTGTCAGTTGAGATGCCCTGATGATCAGTCTGAAATTGGATTTGTGTACTTTATTTTCTGTAAAAACTATTTATTACTACACCCATCTCATGAAACAGGAGTTGATATTTTTGTTGCACTTAAAAGTAACACTCATTAGTTGAATTTTGTTGGTTAATTTTCATTAGATACTGTAGTTAGAATTAGTCTTTAATAATTATTAAAGTGTAGAGAAACCAATAGATAACATTATTGTACAGACCGACCACAAAGTCTTGTCTTTCCAGGATTGTGCTTCTACTTAAAATTATATTATGACCATGTAATTGTTACCTCTACTTTTGCAGTGAAATTTAGATTGCTAATCTGAGCAAATTTCTGATTACCCTTATTATGGTTTTATGTTGCTTTGTGCAGTATGGTGATCCTGGGTTCAGACAAAGTGGAATATTCAATTTAAATATGATATGTATAAAACTCGAGTTATATTGCTTAAACCTATAATATATCATCCTGTACTGACAAGACTTTTGGGAAAGCCTGTACATTTTAAATTTATATTTATTTAAATTATAAACTAGTGTTATTTATTTTCTGTATGTGTGAGAATTTGATAATATACTGGTAGTTTTAACCAGGTTGTTGAAGAGTTAGCGGAAACATTAAAATTTATTTAAATCCTTGTTTAAAGTTAACGTACACCTTATATAAATATACATGTCTCAATATTTAAAAAGTTACCTTTTGAAATATAACAATTATTTAATGAACTAAATAAAGGTCATTCAAAAAGATGATTGTTTAAGAACTGTTGATTAGATACAAAAGCTGTTAAACTTCTGCTTTAATAAATTAAAGCTTGGTCACCATACAAAAAACTACCATTTAAGTTATGAAGACAAAGATTTTTAAAAAATATCTGTTTTATTCTTTATGCTCAGTATTAGTAAGTCTTGAAAGTAGTATGAGCTTTCTTTTCATTGATGGTAAATTGAAACAGGTTAAATTATGGTTTTTTTTATGGTGCCGTTTCTGGGCATATACAGAATTTGCATTTGGGGTGACTTATTATGTAGATATAATTTTGTTTAAACAATTTCATAGAATAGGCTACTTTTATAGTTATAGAACTGTTAGCAGAAATTATTGTTTATTTGTAAAGTGTAAAGAAGATATATGTGCAATATAAGATTTAAGAACTTATTGATTGATCACATATGGTATGCAAACAGAAGGTTTTATATCGCATTCATTATAAAAAATAAAAGAAAAATATTTCCATTTCATCATTAGAACTTTCATTAGGGTAATATTTTTATTCTCGAAATTTTTTAAATTAAAACATTTAACATGTCTAATTATAATATTATCAGTATTACTAACCTTTGTCTCTAACAATTTTTAGAAATTGGCTAACTGAAAATTCAATCTCTACCATGACTATAGAACATTTTGAATACTATACATTCAATTTTTCCAATGAATGTAAAGGACAAGTAATTGAAATTGAAGTTCATTGAAGTTATCTTAAAGAAAAAATGTTTCTTCTAAGTCATAAAAAAATGAGTTTGACTTTCAATTTGGCTTGTGTGTTAATTATGTTTTAGTTTTGAACTGCAATATTTTATTAGGGGATTATAAAAATAAGAAAACCAAAATAATTAATTACTTATACCTATATCACTTATTATTTAGTAGTCAATGTTGATTTGACAATGGGTATCTTTCCTTACATTTCTCTTAATCTCACCTCTGTTTCTTATACTGCTGGATCATGTATATTTGGGTGTAGTAAAATTAGAGGTATATTGTTCAATATAGCTCTGAATAAAATTTGTTAAAATTATTTATATAACCATTTTGTAGATCTTTTTCTCTGTAATATCTGCCTTTTTACTAATCATTCAATAACTTGTTTTTAATCGAGTGTGATTTGTTACTGCTAATTTGTTATAAAGAGTGTATAAACTCATCCTATACTGTTATTAATATAGAATTATATATAACTTGTATATATATATTTATATATATGATTGACATTATACATATAATAATGTATGTGATTTTGAAATGTGTGGTTCTTGGACAGAAATATTGTTTCATGACTGTAGCAGAATTGTGCCATATAAATTTGAACGTGGCAGAACAAAAGTTTTGAGACAACTTAATGTACATTTAATTATTTACATTAAATATACTTGACAATCTGTGTATGAAAGTTGATTTTTTTTTTTTTTTTTTGATAAAAAAATTAATTAGCTTATGCAAAGTAAGGTTTATGATTGATTACATTACATACATCTTTTTGATGCTAAAAATAGTATAATAGTACAATATTTGTGCATTGATATGCAAGTGCCTATTGCTGGTATGGTTTTATGTGATGGCTCTTTAGCTATATAAAAAAGATGTGCTATATTATTTGTATCAAACTGTGAATATTGTTTATGATAATACTGTAATATAAAATCCCACATTGTGAATAATAAAGCTGTCTGCCCAATCATCGTTGATTTTGTTGTTGATGTTTTCTTGCAGACTGGAGATTTCTGTAAATGATTCAACATTGTCAACACTAAATCAATAGATTATTAAAATTGAAGTCTTTTTACATCAGTTAAGTAATTTTGATTTTTGGCGATGGCCGAATGGTTAGCATGCGCGTGCTGTATCATACGGTCTGTCATTAAGTCAACTGGGGGGGGTTTTGATTCCCCAGTTGTACGTGACGAGGAGTAGGGTCGCCTGTCCAACCTCGTGGGTTTTCTCTGGGTCCTCCGATTTCCTCCCACTGCTAAAAAATGAACTGTGTGTTAGTCCCGAAATGACCTAGTTTGTGTTGAGTGGACATTAAACCCCATTTCTCTCTCTCTCTCCTGAATAACATAGGTCTATCAGTCCAAAAATGGTTACAGTCCATTCAGTATTTCCGAAGATATGATGAACTGGAAATGTCCCAATGGGCATCTTTTTCACCCGATTGAATCTAAGACAGGCAGATCATCTATTGTTTGTCTCAGTGGTACAGATTGTCTATCAACTGGGTTATGCACCAGACCTCAGTTTATAAATAGATAAATGGACAGCTTTGGCATGAATTATGCAAGGTAGGCCTACACCTTTTATTGCCTAAATGAAATTAAGTCCGGTAAAATATTAAAAGAAAGAAAACCAATTAATACTTTATTTTAATCAGATAGGATGTAGACTACATCTAGTGAATCCTATTTTAGTAAAATTGTATTTTAATTCAGTGCTAATAATTTGCCATTAGGCCTATATTATGAAGAAGGGCGCTGCAGTGGCCTACCGGATATCTTCCTTTCTTATATGACAGACGCCTTTTCAGACGCCAATAAATTGCATAATTATATGTCTATAGCCCTGGCTCAATGACCCCCACATCAGTCATTGCGGGAAAAATATAATTATCCGACGCAATCATTTTATTTTGGCTTACATCATAGCCTAGTCGATCTTATTTATGTAACGTTTGCACAAATACTTCTGTTCAGTTTGCGAAAAACAAAGTGATATAAAAATAGGTATGAAAGATAGACTTATTTCCGTCTGTGAAACATTGTATAAAAATAACGGTAAATATACGCCATCATGACTTCATGACCAGCGTAATATGGGAAATATAAAGGTCAAGGTCTCATAATACTCTACTCTATAAATTGTTGTCAGTGGCTACGACATACGGGTAATCGTCGTATCCTCGAATTCCAAAGAGCAACCATATTTACGCGAGAGAAGAAAGGAACAGTTGTATACATAATCATTGAATATAGCGATTTATACATCTATTTTAGCACATCGTTTTGGGCGGATTATTTTCTATGTTTTTGAATACATAATGATGTGAAAAATATGGCTGTAACTTGAGAGATTTCAATCTTATTGAACTTCAAGTGTGTGTCGTAAATGAGACAAAGGTGGTGGCGCTGCGAAGATATGTGAGGACTTCCCTGAAGGGAGGATTTCCGACCTAAAAAAATAACATCACATTTCTTCGGATACCTCCCCAGAATGGAACTTTTTATCGAAACTCTTACTGGTACAGCCTTTGAACTTCGCGTTTCTCCTTTCGAGACTATTATGTCAGTTAAGGCGAAGATACAAAGACTGGAAGGTTAGTATGAATTGCTACTATGAATGATAACTCAACTATATATATTTGATTTGACCTATCTGTAGGCTATAATTAAATTGTTTATAAACAAAGTACAAAGTTAGACCTACATATAAACTGAGTATGCACATGCTTAAGTAATCGTAGCCCAACCAATTCATTTTTAAGACCTATCATAATCATTATCACATATTTGTCATTTTATTATTTTTAGCATATGATATAGGCCCAATTAATATAACTATATAAGAGCACATGACATGGTTGGTAGGCCTACTTCAAACTTCTTGAATAACACATATTATAAATATTTATATATCTGCTGCCGCAGTCACTAGTGTCAGTAATTTGTCAGAGCTCATACTAGTTATACCTATAAAAACTGTGAATACCCCATGAAAAATAGAACATCTTTATGTGGAAAACATTACATTCGTGTATATTCGTGGGATTAGCCTATAATAAGACCAAGAGTAAGAGAATCTGTTTAAAACTACAGTCATAGCAAAAGTAAAAAATTGACAAGAAATAGACAGTAGATCCATTATAGCCTATGTGAAATAAAGAATTTTATCTTACTTTTAGTACAAATAGAGATTGTCTCTCTTTGTTTTAGTTCTGGAGATGAGTTTATTCAGACTTGTAATAAGTTCTAGAAACCGGTACTTGTAAACCAGTTGACAAAGACAGAATTAGTAAATCAGCAAATTAACCATCTGACTAACTGTTAAATTTATCACAACTATTGCCCCCACAAAAAAGGATTGGCTCCTCCTGTTATGTAAAGTACCAGTATTTCGATTACTTTACAACTGCTGATCATTGTTTGAGACATATTTCTCTTGCAAACTACATTTTTATGAAAGTTGAATCTCTAACAGGAATATCATTACAAAAGAGGCTCAATTCCATTCACAACAGATGATATAAACAAACCAGTGTCTATACACAGATAAGTGTTCGAAAATCTTTTGTGCCAAGCCGGAGGATTATACGATCTGTGGCTTTAATGATAGAGTCTTATCTATAAAAAAGGGTAAACTTTTAAAATAAACTCTTCAAGTAACTTGTATTCTATATAATTGTGTCATCTATTATTCTCATCCAGTTACTAGTTCTTTTTTGTAACAGTTACATCAGACATGTTCTAATTAGATTTAGATTGTATAGAAATTTTAAGATGAAATTACCTAGGCCATGCTTTCAGCTTGTACAAATATTTTAGTGGATTAAAGTTTTTAATGAACAGTTGTTAGTTTACTGTAATATCTATTATGAATACATGCATGATAAGAGGAACATTAATAATCTTAATTAATGAATAAGATACACTCACATGACTCATGCATACATATACATGTAGAGGGAAGAGGTCCACAGAATTGGATATAAAATTGATTAGTCCTATGGATTAGGACTCACAAATATAGGGATGCACTGATGGTGATTTTTACTCTCAGGTTGGAAACTGGATTCACCAGATACATGAAGTTGTGTTTGATTAATTGAAACTCTGATTGATTGTTTTGAATAATTTAATCAAATGGATTTTGTCCCATTACTAATTGAAATAACATGTCAGATCAACAAAACTTTATCTTGACCTAAATAAGAAGCTTTTTTTTATTTTTGTTAAAATAGTGTATCCTTTTTTGCTGTCAAGGCAAGTTGTTTATCAAGCCCCTTTCAGCTTACAATTTCTGTACCTTCCATATTTTATTTTATATCGCTGACAGATAGTCTAAAGTCACCAAGGTGTAATTATGCAAATGTATAGCTGATACATGTATAACTCTCCTTATTTACCAAATAGCTCACTATGTCCAAACTGGGAACTTTTTTAGGATTGCGATTTTTGGCTTAACTAATTAAGGAGAGTGATTTTCAGTTCACCAGCCAAATATACATGTACATGTAGATAACAATGACCGCTTTTCATGTTTTCTCTCTGTAGGCCCCCCCAAAGTACATAAATGATGATGTAAAAAAAGTAATTATTATACCTAAAAAGTTGGAATAAGAAAAAATATAAGCTTAAGATTAACACCTATATTATGATAAGTGTACTTTTATTCTCAATAGATTATTTCATACAAATAACATACTGTTGACATGTTTCATGAATAGGTTTATATAGCTAATAATAATATAGCTAATGGTACATTTATACAATATAATTGTTTGTAATACATGTATATTATTATTAATATTAGTGAGTAGTGACTTATATTTTTATAGCTCATGTACCGGGAATGTTAAAAATTAGTTATCATAACCTAATTGTGTTTTTTAGAGATTTTAATAATGTAAGTTTTAGAAGAGGAAGCTTTTTCTAGTTTGTGAACCTCAGTTACTCAGTCATTTGAAATGAAATGAAATGTGGGTTTAACGTCCTACTGTTCTTTTCCAACATGGATAATGAAGATTGGCATATGCTATAGGAAAATTTTGCCCAGACAGCGGCGCTACAGCCCACTCTTATATCGAATTCCAACTTGCCAATGTGTACACGGAACCTCAGTTTTTCGTCACATCCGAACGACTAGACAGCTGTCCTTGTCAGGTCCTCTGTCCTGCACCACTGACAAGGGGAAACCACGCCAGAAAATCCTGACGAACTTCAGTCATTTGAACATAGGCAGGGAATAGGCTAGCTATGATTTTAGGCTATGTCTGGTAGGGGAACCAGCGCTTTCATCTTGTAAATATACAATAACAAATAACATTATCATTATTATGTAATGTAATTAAAATGATTATCTATTTGAATAAATAGTAATAAATTAATGTTCCAATCAGCTAAGAATAGTGCCTTTATTGGCAGTTTATTGGTAAGTGTAGGCTCAGTAGAATAATAAATTGCAATGTATTTATATTACATTTTTCTGTCTACAGTGGAATTATAAAATAATTAAGTAGTCCTAAAGAGAATTTTGTACTATTAATGAAAAATAATTGAATTCCAAACTCCTGCAGTCTTTGAGTGAGATCCAACTCTTAACTGGCAGAGGGGTTTTATCCTGACCTACAATTTTCGAAGACTGGAATCCTTTTATTGTGCTGTAGATTGCAACGAAAACTGTTTTTTTTGTGATTACTATTTCATAGATCAAAACTGGTAATCGTGGTTCGGGAGATTTAAAGTCTATTTCATCCATGATACAATGTTAATGCATTGTAAAATTATCTGAAAGGAAAATCAGTCCAAAAATGATTCGATACTGTTCAGTATTTTCAAAGATATGATGAATTTAAAAAAATATTGCATTATTCAACATCCTCCGCAGACATTATAGACAAGCTAGCGCCTCTAGCACAAACTACACTATTCTGAATGATGAATCTCTTTATAAGTCCAAAATTGGTTCAGTTCCACACAGTATGATGATTTGAAAATGTCTGAACACTTGGCACCGACTGCAATAAACAAACCAGCACCACCTATAATTCTTGGAGAATATCTTTTGATGGGTCTATTTATAAATGATTGAATGTAAGAGTCAGGAAATTATCTGCTGTTGCATATTTTGATTTTGGTTTGCTTAATATTAAATGTAAAATTATTACCCGATAAGTTGAATACATGTACATTGTAATGGGGTTTAAGCTGTGTAAAATTAGGCATTGTCCAAAACAAAAAGTGCATGATCGGCTTCTTTAAGAAATCCCATCTGAAAATTTAATTGCATTTATTGATACTATTGAAATGTGTCGTGTCTAGGAAAATAAAAATAAACCGAGACTGATTCCATCTCAGTAAAGGAAATATATCTGTTGTTGCTTCAATCATAAATCACTGGCACTGTGCTTTTTAAGACTTGGTATTGGACACTGGTCTTGGAAAGTGATAGCTTCATTACCTTCTGTCATCAATACCAATTGATCAGAGTAGACAAGTTGAGCGAAGAACAAGAGGTGGCATGTTTTGTCTGGAAGAGCAAGATGGTTTGTGATAAACATTGTGCATGATTGGCATTCTTGTGTGAAGATTTTAAATAGACCTTTGATTGGAAAATATTAGCCATAACAAAATTTACTCTAAAACAGTAAAACTTACAATTAGTGTATTTATAATGTTCTTTTTGACTCATTGATATGCATAGCATAAATGTGACCCACCGTGTCTAATTGCGTCGCATGTTGCATAATGTCATTTTTCAGTATAGGTCAAAATAGGTAAGAAACTGCAATCTGACCGATTTTGAGTTTTCACCAAAAATCAATAGTCAAAGGCATAAACTTTTGTACAAACCTGTTTTTACAACATAATAATAATCCCATAGTTCATTAATATGCGATTTACGAAGACTGTCTGAAAAGAAATGCCTTAAAACAAAGAATTTAAACCGCGTTTTTCTCAAATTAATGTATTTATGATTTTGCATCTTCAACATGCCCTTGCTCGGCCAATTTTTGTCCGATTTACATGAAACTTGTTTTATTTTGAAGGGAATTACGTGTCGGATCACCTCATACCAATATCTAAAATAACTAAATTTGTGACATGTGACTGGTTTTGCCATGGTGGGTCACAAATATAAACATATTATGGCTACAAGTAGATACAAATTATTCCTCATTTTGAGCTAATTTAACTAATATTAAGTTTTGATCCTTAAAGGCGCATTATTGAAGATTATATAAAGAGCTTGCAGTTCTCACAATAATAATTAAAAACTAGATAATGAAATGGAATATGCTGAAAATTTCAGTCAAATTGCTCCACCCTGAACCAAGATATTAGCAATTGAATTTTAGGCCTAGCCTCGATCATCATTACTAAGTTGATTCAATAAAAAGCAAAGTCTCGATTGTCCATTTTTGTGTTTAATCATCACTGCACATTTAACAGCAGATTGGATTCAAATCCAATGAAAATCGGACACATAAGATGGCATTGAGAGTTGATTATGGTCTTTTTACGTTAATAAATGTCCAATTAACAGTTTATATAACGTTATTAACATTTCAGGCCCAAACAAAACCCTGCAATAGGCAGATTTACCTCTTGCATAATGTATGATTAAATAGTTAATATATTTTGGCTAATCATTTGATAGGTGTGTAAATATTAAAGATCGAGTCAGATAATCTAATTTGTAATATATATCCTGAATCTTCAGATTTTAAGGAATATTTTTGCCAATATTGTTTTTTTTTTTTTAAAAATAATTTGCATTCAAAGTATAAATTTTACAATTTATGTTTCATTAGGTATACCAATTTCACACCAGCACCTTATTTGGCAGTCAGTGGAACTGGAAGATGATTATTGTTTACATGACTATAGTATTCACAGCGGCGCCACCCTAAAACTTGTTCTTGCCATGAGAGGAGGTCCGATAAATACTAGAAGAAGTAAGTAATTCCTGAATTCTGAAAATATTCACTCGACTTAACACCCCCCCCCCCCCCCAACCATTCAAATATGTCACTGTTACACCCAAATGACGGTTGAGTTTGAATTTCATGAAAATCAGACTAAAACTTAATGGATTATGGCCCCTGCATGTACATAAAATCAATTTATTTTCTAGCTTGTTCTCTGTCCAACTCCTGCAAAATGTGGGCGTAGCTTGTATGGCAACCGATTGTATATTATTTTGATGAAACTTAAAAAATGTGTTTATATCCCATAGATCTCGGTTCCTTTTGATATTCGTGCATATCGGACCGTAACTTCCTGGATTATGGCCATTGATTGTACAAAAAATCATGTTTTTAGCTTGTGGACCCGCTAGAGGGTTACGAGTTATGTCTGATTTTAAAAAAACCACAACATTTAAATATATCACCAGTACACCATAATGACGGTTGAATTCGAATTTCGTGAAAATCAGACGAAAACGGCCCGACAAAATGGTCGCTCCCCAAATAGTGTAAAAGTATGTAATACCAAGGATGTGGACCTCTAGATGTCACAATTTTTATCCAATTTTGATGAAACTTAAAATAGATATTAATAATTATATCTCAAAGATCTGGATTATGGCCCCTGATTGTATGAAAAATTGTTTTTCTTTTAGCTTGTTCTTTGTCCATCTCTTGCAAAATGTGGGCGTATCTTGCATGGCAACCGCTTGTTGTTTTTCAGTACCAATGGAGGATCCAGCGTTGAGAGAAATGGCTGAATATATGGAGGCAAATAAAGATGAAATATTAGAAAAACTGCCAGGGAACCGTCATGTGACATTATTAGTGTTTCGTGATGGGGATCAGCTCAACTTTTTTCGAGTTGTAGATAGAGGCGATGGAACACTCACACCTTTATCTGAATCTTTAAGGTGAAATATTGGAATAATCATATAATCAAATTTAAATTGTTGTCTTTGGTATGTCAGTTGTTTGAGAGTCACCTATTTAAATGTTCTTTTAGAAATGGGGCTGTGGATATCACTGGGTTATAGCTTAGATCCACTATATTGTGATGAGGCTTACCTGGTGTGGCCTGCTTAGCCTCTTGAGTTCCTTCCAGATTCTGTACTCTGTTGAACATCCCTGCAAGTATTTGAATACTGTTAAACCAGAAATTTCTGTGAGCAATGAATTAATTAATGTGATGAATGCGACCTACAACTAATTGCATTGATTTTTATATGCATTTCAATTTGGTAGTTCAACAAAATTCCTTTGAATTCCTTTGAAGTACCACATGGTACTGAGGGTTTATTACTTTTTCTGTTTAAATTTGATTTAATAATGAATTCACTAAACAGTTTGACTTACAAATGATTGAATATTAATTGAAATTTATTGTAGCGTATAAATTGTTTTACTTAATAATAATTCATGTTTCTAGTGCTTCTATGTATAATTATAATGAAGAAGAAGATGATGAAGAACAAGTTATTGGAGCTCATTCAGCAGAAAATGATAAATTAAAAGATAAAATGCAACAGTTACGTGTAAATATGGAAAAACTTAGCCTCACAAAAAAGGTTAGTTAGTACTCTAGATATAACAATCATATTGAAATTGATACAAGAAGAAAACCTTATAAATCCTTGATAAATTCTGATAAAATATCCAATGTGTTTATACTCTCACATCATGCAGGCGAAAGGTAGAGATTATTTCCTGTTAATATGTAATATGTGTAATCAAATCACTAAACAATCAGTTATGGTTAAATAGTTGATTGAAATTTTGTTTATTTGCGTAAATAATATGTTTAAAGGGCCAATCCCGATAATATTTTGGAGAATAAAACTGCTTAATTTTGTGTTAAAATCCCTTAAAATCCTCTACCTAAGGGCCGAGCAACTGACTCAATATTTGTGATACATTTTCAAGCAACGTAAACCCGTCAGTCTTCATCTGGAAATCGAGACCGTTGTCCTAAGCTGTATTATATGGTGTCTGAATAAAATCAAACTTTTTTTAATAAAAATAACGTGTAGGTGAAATGCACCTTTCGTTAGCAAGTACAGCATGTGGGTCATTCAATGTATAGACCTCTAAAGGAACGGGAATCGATTATCAGGTCACCCAAAGAAAAAATTTACCCCAAATCTTAAAATGGTTACGTGTCCGGATAAGCATTTTTGACGTTCATATCCAAACAACTCAATATTTTGCGCTGAAATTTTGAGACAAGATAAATACACTATTCCTCCATATTTTGGCACTTACATTTCATACGTACTCGGACTTTTATTTTTGAGACTTTGTTCAATCGGAATTGTCCCTTTAATGGTCACAGATTTATCTATATGCTAAATCTGATAGTCCAGTTACCATGTTGAATCATATATAAGGGTTAAAAAGGTTACATGTTGCAGGTTATGTTTTCCAAAAACTAAATCTAGTTTAGTTTAGATACATGTACAGCTAAACCTTGCTCATTGTCTTTATCAGTATTCAACTTTCTGTTGTTGAAACTTAAAATGGGACCCTTAAAGTTTTTTTGAAACAGCCTTTACTAAAGGTTGCTTCATTCACAAATATCAGTATATGCTTTGAACACTTTTTTGGGCCATTAAACAGGCAAACATGTTGTTTTAAAACATTTTATAAAAGTTGCTCTGGTGAAAATTACAAGGGTATGCTAAGGAGTATTACCTTAGAATGATAGATTTATCTCCCTTTTATGATCAGAAGATATATAGAGAATCTCCTACGAGTCTTTTTTGAATCCAAAAAATATCAACACGAGTCGATAAGGTTTTTTTTTACTTTATCGACGAGTGTTGATATTTATTTATATCAAAAAAGACGAGTAGGAGATTTTATTTCTTACATGCACAAATAAATAAATATTATTATAAGTCTTTGCTATAGATTTCACTTTTACTGAACCTGATAACATTACAGCGTAGTGATACATCATTTTTTGACAGCAATTCAACCATTGCAAAGTTCTTTATACTGACCCAGTGTTTCCATCAAGGTCAATTAAATAAAAATAGTTCATTTTTAATAAAAAAAAGAAAGTACTTTTAATAAAAAATGAACTGGTCTTTGAAAATAAAAAAAAGGAGTTCCTTTTTAACTGACCAATCAAATTAGGAGATAGGAGATATTGCAGTAAACTATAAAAATTTATCAGACAAGCGATATCTACTGTAGAATGTATTATTGGGTGATAATTCTACTTATTGTTACATTTTATGCTTTCTAATTCTACTGTATTGCTAATTTGTAAAATAATTTTTGTTTTTCAGCATAAAATTCCCAAACCACCTCCTCCAGGAAGTGAAAAGCCAAGTAGTTCCTCTAGCAGAATGCGTTTACGCCAGTTATCTATGTCTGGACGAACCGTTAATAAAACTTTTAATAAAAACACTTGTTTACCACCTGTCGGCCAAACATTCCAAGCTCGGGTAAATCAGGATAACACAGATAGTGATGACCTGGGACCTGTTCTTTCTTCCAGTGATGATAATTTAGAAGAAAGTGGTGCCATGGCTGAAATAGCTTCTTTTAAGACCACAATAGATACTTTTGAATCTAAGTTAAATCAGCCCCTGGATCGCGTAAAAGAGGACACTGGCGTTTGTGACGGGAGGATTAGTGCCGAAGTGGCAGCTGGTGTGGGCTCTGATTCAGGGTCAGCATCGGTTGCCGGTTCTTCCATTAAGAGAGACTTGTATAGACTAAGTAGCCTAACAGAACCCAGTACTTCCAGACATTTTCTTACGTCATCTGCCAGAAGAAGAGAATGCAATTTTGAAATGTACAAGGAGTCATTAAGGCCCTCGTTATCTTCAAAAAGTAGAAAACAGAAATGTGATCAAGCTACAGATTCTAAAGATTTACATAAAAGAATTTCTTCCTCTGCCAAAAAAGAAATATCAATAGAAAGTCTAAGAGACTCATTAATGAGACAGCCTACAACGTCCCGCTATGGTAGTAGGAAAGAGTTTCAGCTTGAAAGTCTTACAACTAGTGAAGCGTGCAGTATGTCTGGTTTATTGAGGCAAGCTTCAATTGAGAAAATCGGTACATCGCATATAGCTAACTTTGTATCTACTAGTGCTGGTAAATCAAGACTTGGTAATTATAACATGGCTGCATCATCTCAGGAAGGTTGCATACCTACACCTGAAAATAGAATGGTGGTAAGTTTTTCATTTATGTACTCTATTTCATTTGCTAAACATAGAATAATTGTTGTAGGCTTTCAAAAAAAAAGAGCACTGTCTATAATTACTTTTTATGTTATATTCTGCCGGGAGGATGGGTGGCTGAATGGTTAGTATGTGCGCGCTGTATCATAAAGTCTGTCATTGAGTCAACTGGCGTGGTTTCGATTCCTCAGTTGAACGTGACAAGGAGTAGGGTCGCCTGCCCAACCTCGTGGGTTTTCTCTGGACCTTCCAGTTTCCTCCCACTGCTAAATACCCCTATTTGCAAGCAAATTATGGAAATAAAATTGAACCATATGTTAGTCCCGAAATGACCTAGTTTGTGTCGAGTGGACGTTAAACCCCATCTCTCTATATATATATATTCTGCCCAGGCCTGGAAATAACGGTTTTACATGAACCTGACAAAATGTCAGGCACTAATGAAATAGTACCTGACATTTTCATCTTAGTGCCGGACATGTATTAATAATATGAATAAAAAAGACAATCAGTGCCGGACAAAATGACAGGCACCAGAGGTTTAGTGCCTGACAAAGCCTGAATCTGTGCCTGACATTGTCAGTGACAGGTGCCTTATTTCCAGGCTTGATTCTGCCCTATTTTCTCATGAAGAAAAGCAATAGATGCAAATAAGTATCCATCTTTAACCATTGTTTTTAGGCAGACAAGCTTAAAAATAACAGTCTAATTGTTGACTTTGTTCTGTTGTTTTTAGGCAAAAAATTTGGAACCTTTAAATTCTAATGATTAAGCTCACTAGAAATGGGGTTTTAGTGCCCTACTTTTCTGCACCAAGGGGCAAAGCCATGCACTGTGTTGTGATTGAAATTTTGCCCTCATGTGGGGGCTATGGCCTACTCTTTTTTTCGAATTTCGACTATCGAAGATTCATTTAAGTACACAGGACCTTGGATTTTTCCATCCAAACAACTAGACGATGTTCCTTGCCAGGCCGTTCCGTCCTACACCACTGACAGTGGGAAACTGTTGGGTATGGAGCAAGTGGCTTACTTAGAAACTTATTAGAAATGATAACCTATTAATTTAATCTTAAGAAACTTGAATAGTTAGTTATCTATGGAATTAATTTTACATTATAGTCTGCTAGATTACAGAGAATATCAGCTAGTCGAGATGGTTTAATATCTCCAACCCATAGATTACCACCTGTTAAAGCCAAGAAAAAGAATACTAGAAGATGTTATCTATGTGGTAAAAAGACTGGTCTAGCTACTAGCTATCAGTGCAGGTAAATTTTACATGATTAAAGTACAATATTTGTTCATAACCAAAAGCATAAATGCTGATTAGTCCAGTGGTTGTTTTCCAGCGATATCGCACAGTACCTTTCTGTAGGCTGCATATTAGTTAGTAATAAGCTTTCCTAATTAATGGGGAGCCACTGTGGCTAAGTGGGTAAGATGCTGGCTCGCTAGCCTGGAGGTCACATGTTTGATCCCTGCATTGGCCGAGAAAGTTCATCAGGATTTTCTGACGTGATTTCCCCTTGTCAGTGGTGCAGGAAGGAGGGCCTGACAAGGACAGCTGTCTAGTAGTTTGGATGGTACGAAAAACCGAGGTCCTGTGTATATATTGGCATGCACGTAAAAGATCCCTTGGCAGTTGGAATTTGATATAAGAGTAGGCCATAGTGCCGCTGCCCGGGCAAAATTTCCCTCATAGCACACTGTATGGTGTATGCCCGTCTTCATTAGCCCAGTATAGGAGTAGGACGTTAAACCCTAGGGCTGTACGATATTCTCGATATAGTCACTTAACCGAGGTCCTGTGTATATATTGGCATGCACGTAAAAGATCCCTTGGCAGTTGGAATTTGATATAAGAGTAGGCCATAGTGCCGCTGCCCAGGCAAAATTTCCCTCTTAGCACACTGTATGGCGTATGCCCGTCTTCATTAGCCCAGTATAGGAGTAGGACGTTAAACCCTAGGGCTGTACGATATTCTCGATATAGTCACTTATTGCGATATGGTATTTTCAGATCCAACTACGATATCATGTGGCCAAAAATCGTCGAATAGTGGTTTATCGAATATCAGCAAAAACTTCAAATATCGAAAAAAATTATCATAAAAATAGATAATAAATACGCTATACAGCTGTGGAAATTAGCCGACGGCAATAAACTTTAATAAAACTAATGTTTTGAGAATCGTTAAATGTTGAAAACACTTGCGCAATGTCCGCAGCCGTTTTTCACTGAATCGTGTATGCGTTACTTTTACTTTGTTTTTAGTCGACAATAAATTGTCAGTTGTTACTACATGTAAAGCTTAGGCCTACTAAACTTTTGAAATTTCCCACTACTGCGACTAATTACGAGGCTATAAATAGGTTGTCATATTTTTAAAAAACAAATATTGTTATAAAACTTTCCGAAACTTAATTTCTGAAAGCAAGAATAAAACAATCTATAAATAGATTACTGTCACTGTTAGGCCAGGTATACCACAGCCAATCGAATGCTTGAATGGAAGATAGTCCGGATCATTTAGTATTTGTTAAACTGTTTGAACTTACAATACAAGACTTGAAGACGGCATCTACTTACTTCCGGTGCACGTGATGTTTGAGAATTTTCTTACACAAGGTCACAAAAGCAGACGATTTAATTTAATTATGGAAAATTAAAAAGCATTGAAACGTTTTTATCAAAAAAGGATGTTTTGTTCATTTTAATAAATCTATATTAAAAAAAGGAAAAGTTTAAAGTGTATGAATAAAGCAATTCTTTTCTTACCCACGATTCTTACTCAGTCACACTGTAGTGTAGTCAGCTTTAATAAATTTATATTTATATTTAATTTATTTAATAGCAAAGTGACATTAATATCAAATATCGCGATATTTAACTATATCGTTGAAAAAAAATGCCAATATCGATATCGTCCCTTTTTGCAATATCGTACAGCCCTATTAAACCCCCATTTCATTTCATTTCCTAACTAATGCTCATAATAAAAGAATAGCTCTTGAATTAGAAACAAAACAGATTTCAAGATGGTGTATAAATGAACACAAACAGTGATGCCGTGTCAAAATTACTTCCTTTTTTCTAAATGTGTATTTCTATTTGATGTTATACAAAAATAACAGGGGAATGGCAGAATTTTCTGAATCAAGGAATAGTAGTGTTTGAACAATCAGTTTTTTTGTTCAGTTATTTTGGTGATAGAAAATCAATCTAAAGTTTATCTAAAGGGGGGGGGGGGGGGGTAACTCTTCTTTATAAATGGTTCTAATATTTTTTGGGGAGGATGATCATTACAGTCTGTTTATATTTTGTTTTGTCTACTTTCAGATGTGGTGATAATTTCTGTGCTACACATCGCTATGCAGAATCCCACGATTGTAGATTCGATTACAAAACAGAGGGGAAGAAGCTGTTAGAACAAAATAATCCTGTAGTCAATGCACCTAAATTACCTAAAATATAGCAGAACTTCACTTTGTTTAAACATCTAGATTTGTTATATTAAATATATTTTTGTTATGGAGATGGCGTTTATTTTAAAATTTTATCATTAAGTTTGTATTGAGAAATGATTTACAGGTTCTAAATTGTAGGCATTATTTTTCTGTTGGCTTATCTGTGACAATAATAGATTTATTTTTATTCCTAATTACTTAACCAGTACATTGGAAAAGTGATAGGTGATGTGAAAGAAAAATTGCAGGTATTTTTACGTACTAATTAAGAGCTAACTTTTAATTTTGTTATTCATTTTTTTTATGGATAGTTTCAATAATATTTATAAGATATATAGTAATAAGTCATCCATTCTGAGATCGGTTGACAGCCATATCAAACCAAATAGAAATTATGACTTTGATTGTAGTTATTTTTTTTGTTTTCTGGCAACAGCTCCCTAAACATCAAAAATGTGAGACAGTGAACGAAAAACTGGTTTTATACTAAAACATTTAAAATTTACAGAGGTTCTTAAAATATCTATAAAATAATGAATACTATTCTCATTAAATTTTAATGGCTGTTTACATAAGGTATAATTATATATATTCCATTTATCATTACAAGTATATTATTTGATGTTTTCAATAATTATATATTGAATAAAATGTGAATGTATATATTGATTGAGGGTAAACTTGATATTGCAGGTCCATTATGAGTTATATTTGTGAACATATGACTAAAGAGCCATCACTTACTCATTTACCTCCTACTTCCATGAAGTCGGTGTTTGGTTGCATTGATTTAAAGATTACACAGAAATATGTTTATTTTCAAACCATATTTCCCTGGACCAGAACATACCATACAAAGCTGGTCCGGTTCTAAAAGGGAGGTAGTTTACAATAAAAAGTATTTGACTGCAGGTTCTACAAAGTCAAAAATAAGGGTCATTATGGTTATTTATCGCATGATTTCTCTATCTAAATTTGTTTGGATTAGAGGTCTGAAACTAGGGAAAGGCATGAGTTTGCTCAGTCAGTTGTCAGTTCTTTGTATTCAGTTAAAATATTATGGTATAATGTGTAAATGGATTTAGATGTTAATGTATGTGTGCTATTATTGTTTATCTTTAATCTTAGTTAGGTCTCTTTTTACTTATAATCTGTTTTTAACTTCTGTTAATCTACACTGTATCAATGTAGAATGAACACTGTTTCTTGACAAATAACTGTACATATATAATATAGATTCAAATTATGAATTCTACAAATTGCCATGTCAGGTTGTGAAGAATCTTTGTCAATAGTCAATTATCTTATCTTTGATCTGCCTTTCTTCTCCATTTTTTTTGAAAGGATTCATTGATTTTACAATTCAGCTTTTATAGAAGATTCAGCTATAGGGCCTGAAATTAATAGTCATTTGATTGCCTTGCAAGAAAATTGAACTATTCGGACCCTATATTTTCGGAACTGGATATTTTTTCGATTGCATTCTGGTTCAGTAACTGAAAAGCTTTGATCAAATTTGAGTATCTGGGATTTCATTGGCTATACTTAGTGGATAATATGATAGTTTTAAAACCTGAGCTTTTTTTTCTATAGTATATTGTTTATTACTATCCAAGATGATATTAAATCATGGTTGATTTGATAATTTAAGGAAGTTGATCATATAAGTAATTTAATTAAGGAGTTAGTTTTAAAGGACTGAATTAAAATATACTATTAAAAGTAGATGCTATAAATTGATCCACCAAATGTTTAAAATATTTAGATATTATTTAGTATTAAGAATGTAATGCAATAAAAAGGTTAATACATGTATTTATAAATTATATAGTATTATAAAGATATTTTGCTAAAAATTTAAATTCTAGAGTACAGTAGTTCTCAGTTCCATTTTTTTTCAATCGTACACACTAAATTTGGAGTCTTGCTCCAAATTTATATAATTTTCAACCTCTTACTTTATCTTTCTTCACAAATGGGCTGCTTTAGGTGATTTCATTGGATAACTTTCTGTTTTCTTTCTTTTCTGTCCAATCCTGTTAAGTTGGGGGTTAGTTCTGTTTAAACAAACTGGTTGTGAAAGCGAACCTTAATGAAGAAGTCATGCTTATCGGGGGGTTTTCAGGGGAGAATGAATTTATCATCTATTCCACAAATAGAAATAGCATTGGTTCTTTTATAGAATACCAGTATGGTATATTCTTAAGTAACAATGTATACCATTTATATTAGATGGTACAGGTCTCAAAACAAATCAATTATTTAATACAATATTAAAGTATGAATGACAATTAATGTAATTATAAATAAGTATTAAATTATCAACTTTTTATTCTGTAAAACAGAAATATATTCTATTTCTATCTAGATTATGTGAGTTATTATCCGAATACAGATATTATACTATTACCGGTATATATACTGTATTCAGTCTGTGATTGAATGTCGTGTACTACTAATATTGAGTGAATTGAAATAAAGGACAAAGAGTTCATGTTTTATTCTTTTATTTACAAAACTTGAATATTTCAGCCACAATTCATTTGAGCACACCTTTTAGCACCTTCTGTTGACCCAATACCTTAAGTTATGCAGTGGGATCCAGACATCTTGAAATAAATGAAACAAAAAGACTTTTGTCATTGTCAGTATGGATGATGGCATGCTATTTAGTATTTTAAGGAGCATGGTCCCATTTCACATGAAAGACTTACACAAACTGAACTTTTGATTGAAGTGTGTAATGAACTTTACAGTAGCCCACCGGTGTGCTTCGTAATGGGTCACAGGTCTTTAGCCTGCCACTTATGTTATGGCACTAAACAATGTGAGTAATTCCAAGGGTTAGGTTTGCCAGACTGGTTTTACTTTATAAAGACGAGAAATATTTTGAAAAAAAAAAGATGTTAAAGATGGGTTCCCGCGTACAAACTGGGTGATTTAATGGTATATATGGACCAAAAACATATTCAAACTAATTAATTTGTCATAATTATGCTTCGAATCCTTCTCAAACATTGTAATTGCGAAGGAATGCCCTGCTATTAAAATTCGATCAAACCAGGTCATGTTTACGTCACGTCTTGGGAGTCAGAGGAGAATTCATTGCATACATAAGACGATGTTGTCTTTAATCGCTTACTATTTATTACAAATATCTAATCCTAATTAAATTCTCAGATTATCCACTACCCGCGTCTTTTTCCGTCATTTTTATCCCAGAAAGTATTGTATGTCTAACTCTTCATAAAGTTTATCAACTTGTACATCAAGCGCTCAATGTTCGCTTGTGACCTTTGACATCAAGCGTGCAGAAGTTCTTAATCGTCGGGCTGTTGATTAGGGGAACCCTTACATTTTCGTCCTGTATATGCTCCATGAGTGTTTTTCGGGGAATCCAGTATTTTTCTAGTAAGATTGGATATCTCTACTTTCCATATATACCAAAATTGCCAAATTTTTTATTGGAAATAACCACCCGATAAATACTTTTCTGGGAACCCATCTTTAAATACATGGTTTTTATTTTATAGAAACAAGATTCTTTTTTTAAAAAAGAAGAAAATTAAATACATTTAAAAATTAATAAGGGTGGGTAGCACCTGGATGGAGAAAATATTACTTATGGTTTAATAAAGATGACCATGGCATAGGCAAAGATAGTCAAGACCTGGTTGAATTTTTCATTGTGTTGAAAGTGGTTCGGCAGTGACAATTTTTCATTTCTTCAATAACGAAAGTCAACTAAAAAAAACTTTTGATAAACAATGATATTAACTGATTTTAATTCTTTGACATTCACTGAAAAATCAAAAAGATTTTTTAAAGCGGAAGGGCAATAACTCCAGTTAATGAAATTACCTCCCATAAAATGGGCTTCAAAAAGGTATTTCACGCACGTTTCATATGCATAAAAGATAAAATGAAAAGCCGAACTATTTTTAAAATCATAATAGTAGTTTGATACTGTGGCACATTCCAAGAAACAAACCGCCGCTATCAAATATCTGGGTCCTCAGAGTCAGAACTTTTAATCTGGGGCACGTGTCTGCTTCAGTCTCGATTATTTAGCGTAGGAAATAACAGTACTGCTGGATAACGGGCAACGGCTCATTATTGGCGCACGGGTTGAACTTCATTATTGTCTCTAATAGTAAAAATACAGCCAAGTTCGCATCATGGAATCAAACAAGCGACAGGAAGATGCCGGTGATGCTGTTCTTGATACAAAGAAACCAAAATTAGCAGACACAAGGTTAGTGACATCCAAGCAATACCGGTAATGAAAATTGAACCCACGGCCTTTAGGTTGTATCCTTCTCATAGTCGACTATTTGATGAAGTATCGACACGGGATTGGTTGATACACGATTATTTCATTGTGGACGTAGTTGGGTCAATGAATTTGTCAACGATGAATTATTTGGTAATTCAATTGTAGTTCGTGCTGTTATATTATGAGCTTTACGCATTAGAATTTTATCTGGTCAAATGCATTGCAGTTTTAAGGTAGAACATTCTTGCAAGTCACAAAATCATTGTACTGACTGATTTCGTATTTAAAAATACCTTAAATACCGATTGTTTAATGGACTCGTCCGACCTGTATATAAAGACCCCGACACACGATTGTTGTTCTCTGAGAAATTTACTACGGACTGCAATGTCTCGGTAAATTAATTCAAATCCTATATGTTGACATTACATTTAGGGATTCTTACTCGTTATGATCAGAATGTCACGCTAGAGCTATTCTTTTCTAATGACAACTGTCAGATCATCTTTATAGTAAACTTTTCAAAAAGTTATTATTTGATTCCCGAATGGTACTCCGCCATGCAGTTTCCCTTTTTAGGCTTATTATGATTTATAATTTATGGCTTAAGTTGTTATGAATGAAAACAACAAATTGAAATTGCCAGAGGCTAGCTGACTAAAATTTAAAGGAGCTAAATCGCTAACATTTGGCGCCTAGAAATTGACAAAAGTGGGTCGCAACGCATATAATACTGTAATATGTATGCATATAAACTGATTTACATTCAATGGTTTCCATTTTTACTCCAATTTCAAATCAGTTATGTTCGGCGAAATAAGCCAGCAGTCTCAATCGAGTGCAAATTTCTAGCGTCTGGTTATTCCAGTCTACATACGCCGTTCGATTTGGTGCAATGTGTCTAGCCTCGTCCATCGAGTCTCTTTTTACAACTGGGGCTGAAGCGCATTATGGTACACGATTCGTGTACCAATGGTAAAATGTTTATTTTGTCTTAAATATTGGATATCAAAAGCCCATCTTATTCCAGTAAGACCACAACATCAATGTTGATTTAATTTGACAAATAAATCGTGTTTTCAATGTTGAAGATTTTGGATGATATTGAGTTAGAGACTTAGCTACTTTAATATCAGGAGGGATCGAGTCTGTACACAAATTATTTATAATATTATACTGTACCTGAGAAGTTTGGATTCACTACGTATTGACTTACTATTGTCAATCAGATTGGTGATTGTAGATTCTGAATAATTATATACTAATATATACTATAGCCCAAGAGTAGGCTACCATCTACTGATAAATACTATAAATAGATTCAGGGATGTGCAGGGGCCAAAGATGAGGCCAGCATCATAGTTTCCAGGATGAGTTATTACCATACTATAAATTGCTATGGTTATTCTTTAGAAGTATGCATAATATCTGTACTGTAGCTGTTTTAATTTACAACAATGAACATGAGGCCAAAATGACAGTTTCCAGGATGAGTTATTGCCATAACTATAAATTGCTATGGTTATTATCTTTAGAAATAAGCATTATATTTGTAACTGTTTTAATTAACAATATTTGGTCAAAACACAATTCTATTTTTCTCTTTCAGAACTGGTTTGTTATTAGGCTACGGAAATCCATTATTGGATATTTCTGTAAATGGTAATCAAGAATTTTTAGACAAGTAAGTAGAGATAAACTAAATTAGTTATTTAAACAAAATACTGTTCTGAATTTCACGCCAGGAAATATGTCAAACTATGTAGTAAACATAATTTAATTAAAAATCACTATTTGTTTGTAGTTAATCTTGTGCTATTTTATTTAATGATTTGTTTACAATTGTCTTTTTTAGATATGATTTAAAGGCTAACAATGCTATTTTAGCGGAAGACAAGCACATTCCTTTGTAAGTAGCTTTAACTCGTAAAACATTGGAATGTGACAATCAAGCTTGAGAACATAAAACTGTTTAGGCACTTGGAAATTATGATTTCTACGACACTGGTACCAGCGCCATTTTTTACTGGTACCGGTAACTTACTGATTACTTATTGCACAGATTGTTACCAGAAGTGGAAAATAGTAATCCAATGGCACTTCACATGTATGTTTTCATTGTCTTCATTCGCCCAGAAAAGTAGGACATTAAACCATCTTATTTCATTTTTTTGTACGTTTTCTCAATTAACTAACCACAAATAATGGATAATTTCTGAATGGTATTTTGTTCATTGAGATTTGAAATTTATCTGTATAAATTAATCAATGTGGGTTTTATTTTCCAGGTACGATGAAATGGTTAAAACATTTAAAGATTCTGTAGAATATGTACCAGGAGGTGCTACTTTAAATGCTTTAAGAGTTGCACAGGTCAGTTTAAAAAGTATCTTGAACTTCCATCGTAGAAGATCACAAGCCATCCAAATCAATAATTGTCTTATAAGAACTTTGTAAGAGGAAAATATAATGGTACAGTTTATTAAATTGCAACATAATATAAATTGAATGTTAATTTATGATTTTGTTGTCACTACTGACTGTGTAAATATTACTCTTGATTCGGAATTGTTACAGCATTATTTGATTAATCGATGTATAGACACTATCACATGCTGAGCTTGGCTATTTATTTGACTGTGAACATCTGTCAAGGTAGGGTCAACATTTATTAGAGATTAACTTTGGTTGTGTAGGGCATCCTACACTGGATTTGCATTTCGCTAATGTCAGCTAGCTCACGGGGATTGATTCCACATAAAACAATAGCTATCACTTTGTAGCTAATACTTTGGCAACTTTTTGATGATTTTAGTTAATACATCTTTCCCCTTTCAGTGGTTGCTGGGTAACAACGAAGCTACAACCTTTTTTGGTTGTATAGGTAAAGATGATAAATTTGGATCTATATTAGTAGATAAAAGTAAAGAAGCTGGTGTCAATGTTCAGTTTCAATATACAGAAAAAGAAGCTACAGGAACATGTGCTGTAATATGTACTGGTAATGCTAGGTAATACACCATTTATCTAGATTGTTATCTATATGATGAGTATATTTATAAAGTCTAAAATAAGCCATCTAATGATAAAGATAATCTAGTAGTGTATTATCTATATTTTAATGTATTAAAGGAGATGTAAGTGAATGTCACTAATGGTCATTTTAAATTCTTAATAAACTACAATGTTAAAGTTAAATCTCTAAAAGGAATATCAGGCCAAAAATTGTTCAATTCCATTCAGTATGTACAGAACTATGATGAATTCAAAATGTTACAACATTCATCATTCTCTGCTAACAATATAAACAGGCCAATAGGACCTATAAGCGTTGGGTAATATCTTTTTATGGTCTTCTTTTTAATCCAATTGAATCCAAATCCATGGCAGATCTAAAATCAACTCTCTAGACTGTAGGATGACTAAGATATTGAGTGCATTAAACAGTGTTAATAATGTGGACACTCTCTCCTGGAGACTGCGGATTGAATTTGAAGGACTGATAATCAACACTTTGTTTACTATCATGGTAATAGTACTTGACAGGATTATTTAGTCTATTATTTGTCAAAACATCAAACATTCATAGCTTTGCTTAGAATAAAGTAATTTGACAGCAATTTTCAACATATATATTTTTTGTTATGTATTTTAAAACTATTTTAGCAAGTATGACCAACTCTTTATCTAAATCTAAAATACCGGGTAATGCATCTTTAAATGTTTCATGATCAATTTAAATACTTTTTAGCATGGGTTTGATTTTGTTCAAAATGGGATCAGTGACTTTATGATTGGTAACAAACTTGTTTGAACTGGTTTACTGAATCATAAATTTAACTTGTTATGATAAGATGTATACATAACTAAAATGAATTGATATTATTAAGGGGTATCGATCATGTTATATTTATATGAATACTATCTGTGTCATAAATAATAAAGATATACAGTCACTTCAAGTTGTTGAAGTTCACAGATATGATATCTGATGTAAAGGTTTAAGATAACAAGTTACTTTTTATGGTAATATTAAGTATTTTCCTTTTGATGTTTTTTCAGGTCATTAGTAGCTAATTTAGCTGCTGCTAATTGTTTTACAGAATCACATTTAGATAATGAAAATAATTGGAGTTTGGTTGAAAAAGCTCAATATTATTATTGTGCAGTAAGTCTTGTGTTTAACTTTCTGATGTTTTATTGATATTCAAATTGTTCCCATTGGATTCATAATACATTTGGAAAGCCAAATTCAACTCAGGATATTTCAAGTCCTGTTTACAGTAGATAGAATTAACAGGGGGTCACGGTGGCTAAGTGGGTAAGATGCTGGCTTGCTAGCCTAGAGATTGGGTGTTCGATTCCTGCATCGGCCAATAAAGTTCATCCAGATTTTCCGGTGTGGTTCCCCCTTGTCAGTAATGCAGTACAGAGGGCCTGACAAGGACAGCTGTCTAGTTGTTTGGATGGGACGAAAAACCGAGGTCCCGTGTACAAATTGTCGTGCACGTAAAAGATCCCTTGACAGTTGGAATTTGATATAAGAGTAGGCTGCAGTGCCGCTGTGCGGGCAAAATTTCCCTCATAGCACACTGTATGGCGTATGCCCGTCTTCATTAGCCCAGTTCGGAGCAGAATAGTAGGACATTAAAGTTTAACGGTTAAACCCCATTTCTTTACATTTCAGATAGAATTGACAATTTAGGGTTGGTGGCAATATTTGTCTAGACCAAAAGCAAGGTTCTGGGTACACATTGAAATGTTTGCATAAAAGATCTTTTGAATTTGAAATAATATAGACAGACTTCTCTGTTGCATTCTACATATTATAGAAATATGAATTAAAACAACCAGTACACTGAAAAATGTGATATTTTATTTTAATCTTTCCAGGGCTTTCCATTAACTGTTTGTCCAGCTGCTATGTTAAGAATGGCTAAACATGCGAATGAGAAAAACAAGACATTTTGCATGAATCTATCAGCACCATTTTTATGTTCCTTTTTTAAACAACCCATGTTAGAAATTTTACCATATGTAGATATTTTATTTGGAAACGAAACCGTAAGTACAAGTTTTAACATGCATTAAACTATACCCTAAAGTTCTTCTCCACACAGCTGTATCAGGCTGGACTGTCTACTGGTTTAAGACACGCGCATGAAATCACAAGGTCTGTCATTGAGTCAACCCGTTTGAACGTGACAACGAGTAGGGTCGTCTGTCAAACCTTGTGGGTTTTCTGTGTCCTCCGTTTTCCTCCCACAGTGTTGTTTCAATTCCTTGCTTGAACGTGACAAGCAGTAGGGCCGCGGCCGGCCGCCTGTCCAACCTCATGGGTTTTCTCCAGGTTCTCCAGTTTTCCTCCCACTGCTAAAGCCCATATATGCAAGCAAATTATTGAAATAAAATTGAACCATATGTTAGTCCCGAAATGACCTAATTTGTGTCAAATGGAGTTAAACTCTCTCTCTCTCTTTCTCTCTCTCTCTCTCAAGCCATGGTTCCAGTGTATAATTGTAGTTAAGTGGTCTTAATTTTCTGGTTGTCATGATTGTGAATAGTATTTATGACTTGAAGTGACATATTTCTGTCACAGATTTCACTGTTTTGAGTGTATTGTTTAGTCAATGAACAGTTTAATGATCAATGATAATTTTTGAAACAACAGTTTGATTACTCATTTTTGCGTTTGTATAGTAAATGTTATTAAATTTTCTTGTGCATGCTCTACAGACTAGAATTTTTCAGACCGAAGATATCTCACCATCTTTCCAAGATTGCATTCATTTCTTGACACATTTTAGTGATGCTCAAAATATATCAAAAAACAAAACCACTTGAAATTTTTTATACTTTTTCAGGAAGCTGCAGAATTTGCTAAAGCTAATGATTTAGAGGTAAGTACTAGTGTAATACAAGTAGAGAATCTCTTTAATTTATGTATGGTCAGTAAACATTCACTTTGCATGTGCTTTATTATTCTGAGAGAAATCTGATAAACAATCATAATCATAAACTTAGCTAAAAAGAAAGGACTTGGCACCATAGTTTATCATGGATTATGAATTTCAGGTTCTCTTAATTTCATTAGCAATTCTAGTTTCTATAATTTGGGTGTTAATGTATTACAATTTGGTTTTGTAAAAAAACTAGACCTCAAATGGCATTTTTCTGTTTTGGAATAAATCTTCATGTGAATCAAGAATATCGCTGATGCCTTGTTTTGCTTATAATGCATTACAGACTACAGACATTAAAGAAATTGCTTTGAAAGTAGCAGCTATGGAGAAAACCAACAAATCTCGTTCACGAATGGTTATATTTACTCAGGGAGACTTGGCTGCCATTGTTGCACAAGGTATTATCAATTAAAAATAATTTTGATTTGCTATAGGAAGTGAAGAATTGTATATTACTAGCTATTTAATATTGGGATACTGTAGGTTCGTCACATTTGATGGAGTTTAATGATGAGAATTTTCTGCTTAGGCTAAGCAGAGATAAGCAATTTAATTGGTTGGTGCTTTTGGGCACATTAACTTTTGATTCTAATTGAGTGGGAATGATGAAACTTGACTAAGTTCAATCATGAGCAGTTTCTGGTTAGGGTATGTTTGATGTGCCATTAATTATGTGTCATCTATTTAATTTGAGATTGAGGTGAGGGGGAAAAAAGCCTTGTATCACTGTTGGTTTATTGTTTCATATCATAGCCTTTTTGTATTCTTTGATATTCACATATGTTTTTTTTTAGATGGAAAAATAACAGAATATCCAGCAACATCTGTGAATTCTACTGATATAGTGGATACAAATGGTGCTGGCGATGCATTTGTAGGAGGTAATTATTAGATGATTATAAGTAGCCTAATTTAACTTTTTTATGCAGATCGCCTGTGGTTGACTGGCTAGCTGGTAGATGCCACACTAATCAACAGTGAATATTCACTAGGCCGCTACAGTCACTGAGAGGGATGACATCAGTGCAGGTTAATAATAGCTCACAATATTAACTTTTTTCCTTCTGCAAATTAAATTCTAGAATATTCTTTTGAAGTATTAGAAAAATAAATAAAGCTGTTTGAAGTATATCTGGATAAAAAATAATTCCTATTTAGTGTAGATGGGTATATACAATGAGTAAAAGGCACCATTCTGCGGACCAGTTTATGTTATGTATACAATGCATGCACTATCTAGCCAATGGTCGACGATGTGTGATGAGATGTCAGGCTTATACTTCAGTTGGCAAATGAGAGCTTTTGTGAGATTGACAGAATTGAATTCCAGAATGTTCAATCTCCTTTTAAAATAGGGGGTTGGATGGCTGAATGGTTAGCACGGGCTTGCTGTATCATAAAGTCTGTCATTGAGTCAACTGGCGTGGTATCGAATCCCCGGTTGTACGTGACAAGAAGTAGGGTCGCCTGTCCAACCTCGTGGGTTTTCTCCAGGTCCTCCGGTTTCCTCCCACTGCTAAAGACCCCTACGCGCAAGCGAATTATTGAAATAAAATAAAACCATGTTAGTCCCAAAATGACCTAGTTTGTGTCGAGTGGACGTTAAACCCCATTTCTCTCTCTTTCTCTCCTTTTTAAAATATCTTGCTTATGTTAAAAGTTTAATATTTCTATGTTACAGGTTTTTTAGCTCAGTTAGTTCAAGGCAAGCCAATCAGTGAAAGCATGCGATGTGGACACTGGGCTGGTAATTTAATCATACAACGACCTGGATGTACCTTCCCTGAAAAACCATCCTTTGCATAATTGAACTGTTCATTGGAGAATGTGAATTGTAAAATTGAAATTATATAAATATAAGTGAAAAGATTTGGCTAAAAATAAGTTAAATTTGGTTCACATTCAACTATATGCCAGTATCTGTTCTACAAACTTTTTTTTTAAAATGGCTATGCACAAAGGTCTGTTATGGCCTTAACATTTACATGAGATTAATTTCTGTGTTATGAAATTGATTTAAAATGGAGATCTCATAACCTTTCACTCAATTTTCAAGATGCACATATTTTTATAACATTGCCAAATAGTTTTATTCTCTAAACTCTTTGTTTATTCTTCTAAAATAGAATGTGCTATGATGTGAAATTTGTTTCAGTGTTCATAAGATGTTTAAAGTTGTCTATAAACTATGGTTGTTTTGTTCATGAAATTCTCCAAATCGATGCAGAATTGTTCAAAGGACAAGGATGCCAATTTTCATGTTGATTGGACTTGAACTGATGGAGCCTTAGTCTTTTTCGAAGAGCGTCACCCCAAGAAGAACAAGATGAGTAGTGGTTAGCGACCAGTACCTGGTCCAAAAAGTGGGTTGAAATAAGCATACATAAACACTATTTCATGATAATTATTTGGAGTTGTCTCCTATTACCAATAGCTTCAAACACTATTTCGTGATAATCATTGAGTTGTCTCCCATTACCAATAGCTTCAAGTCTTAATCGACTCTCAATTCTGTGTATATACAGAGGCTTTCACAAACATCTACATATGGTTATTATAAATGAAATACGTTGATCTTTGTTCTCATTCAAAGAAATTTAAATGTCTTTAATACAAAATAATGTAATTTCTGTCTTACCCTTTTATACGATTTGAGATAAGCATGAAAAACTCATAACTGGGAAATAATAATTGTTGATATGAATTTTTAGATTGTGGAAAGTTTACATAATGTTATAGTTATAATTAACAGCATGCATTTATATGATCTTAGTTTCTTCTACATTGATAATTATGTGATAATATTCATTTATGGATTAAACATAGATCTCTATTGTTGTTTGTGAATTCTCTCAATGAAAGTTACAGATACCAGTGTTTTACCTCATGCCCCCTTGCGGAAAAAATTCACTGCAGTTTTGGGTACAAAAATTGACTTGATCTCTCTTAAAATCTAACCACGGCAATCGTTTTTCTGAATGATGTGTATTAACATTTGGTGTTGCATATTGGTAATTCATAGCTTTGTAGTGGTGTAACAGTTTTTGAAAGAAGTGTGTATTAGCATTTAGTAGTGTATTAGTGGGCTAATATACAAGCGTAATTATTTAAATATTGAAGACTTAACACCCAGTCTATATTTATACGTCCAGATCCCTTATAGTCTGGGGTGTCCATCAAATGGGCACAAAACCAGACCCAACTTTCCTAGAGTAAAATTTTGCGTAGAATACGATCGGGCCGCTGTTGGGGCGTTTTTGAGATATTCGGGGTCAAAGGTAAACCTTTAATAGCGTTGTCATAGGGTTTTTAAATACTCAAAATGTCTCTATTTAGTTTCAATAATCTGAAGGAATTTTGAAAAAATATGGAAAATTAAAAAAGTTGTCGCATTTTGAAGATAGAGAATTGGAGGCACTAAAATACAGCATTTTTTAACCAGCGGCTGCCAGGCAGGATACTTCCACATTTTGCAAGAGATGGATAGAGAACAAGCTAAAAAACAAAAACGATTTTTTGTACAATCAGGGGCCATAATCCAGAAAGTTATGGTCTGAAATGCGCAAATATCAAAAGGGACTGAGGTTTTTGGAATATAAAAAATGTTTTAAGTTTCATCAAAATCGGATACAAATTGTGACCTCTAGAGGGTCCATATCCTTTGTATTACATACTTATACACAAGAGCGGCCATTTTGTCGGACTCTTTCATTTCGATTTTCCCGAAATTCCAACTCAACCTTCATTATAGTGGAATGGTGATATATCTAAAATCGGAAAATAAATTGTGACCTCGAGAGAATCCACAAGCTAAAAATGCGATTTTTCGACCAATCAGGGGCCATAATCATGGAAGTTACGCTCGGATATGTGTGATTGTCAACAGGAACCAAGATCTTTATGAAAAAACATATATTTAAAGTTTCATCCAAATTGGATGAAAACTGTGGCCTCTAGAGTGTCCACAACCTTGATATACCATATTTTTTACACTATTTGCGTACATGTACACGGGTCGGCCATTATGTCTGTCAGTTTTTGTCCGATTTTCACGAAATTCGTACTTAGGGTGTAACGGTGATAATACTAAAACTTTTTTTTAAATTGGATAAAAATTGTGACATCTAGAGGAACCACAAACTAAAAGCGCGATTTTCCGTACAATCGGGGGCCATATTCAGGAAGTTACGACCCAAACATGCGCGATTATCGAAAGGAACCAAGATCTTTGGGTTATAACATGCATTTCAAGTTTCATCAAAATCGAATCAAAATTGTGACATCTATAGGAGGTCCACAATCTTGATATACCAGACATTTGGACTATTTGCGTACAAGGGGCGATCATTTTGTCGACAGTTTTGGTCCGATTTTCTCGAAATTCGAACTCGACCATCAATAGTGTAACGGTGAAATACTAAAACGGTATTTTTTTTAAAATCGGATAAAACTTGTGAAGTCTAGAAGCACCACAAACTAAAAGCGCGATTTGTCGTACAATTAGGGGCCATAATTCAGGAATTTGCAATCCGATATGCGCGAATATTGAAAGGAAACAAGATATTTGGCATATAAACATGCATCTGGGTTTCATCAAAATCGGATGAAAATTGTGACCTCTAGAGGGTCCACAACCTTGATATACCATATTTTACACTATTTGCGTACAAGGGGTGGCCATCTTTCCGGCAATTTTGGTCCGATTTTCACGAAATTCGAACTTAACCACCATTAGGGTGTAACGGGGATATACTAAAACGGCTTTTTTTTATATCGGATAAAAATTGTGACAGCTAGAGGGACCACAACCTAAAAACGCGATTTCAAGTACAATCAGGGGCCATAATACAGGAAGTTAAGATCCGATGTGCGTGAATATCGAAAAGAAACAAGATATTTGGGTTTTAAACATGCATTTCAAGTTTCATCAAAATTGTGACCTCTAAAGTGTTCACAAGCTAAAAACGTTATTTTTCGTACAATCAGGGGTCATAATCCATGAAGTTATGGTCCGATACATACCAATATCGAAAGGAACTGAGATCACTGGGGGGTAGATAATATATTTTAAGTTTCGTCAAAATCGGATAAAAACAAATTGAGGACGGACGGACAGGTGCGACGACAATATACGTCCACATGAAAATGTGGACGTATAAATACGCAAAAAACCTGACCGAAGCTAATATCTCAGAAACTATAAAAGTTAGATCTATGAAACTTGCAGAAATTGAAGTTCACGATGTACTTGATCAAATATAAGTATCGCCAGATTGTTCAGTTATATAGTGTGTGCTGTTGGGACCGATACCATTGTCGTTCAAGGTCACAGCAAAAAATTGATGTAACGATTAATAACCAACCACGTAGAAAACCCAGAGCTTTGAAATCTTTACCCAATCTGGTTCTTGATGTGATGAATACACAACGAATGTTTTCATATTGTTATCTTGTTTATTTATTAGGTTACATGACTCGAAATACATTTTTGACCATACCAAGTCCAGGTCACGGTCAAACAGAAAGTGGGAGATCACGGGTAAACTACAAGTCTTTTCCTGGATGTATATACATCTAAAGTTTGGCAGGTTTTAAGACGCGGCCTGCAGACTGGAGCCCAATCATGTAACTCTTCAATTGCTTTTCGGACAGTTTCATCAAGTATAACAATAGTTTTTACGTATTTTTGAAACAGGTTTCGAAGTGTTTTGGTTCTGTTATGCAAGATCTTTTTCGACGTTCCAAAGTAAATGTACGGTGCTAAGACCACCTAAGGATAAGTTCTAAATGTTTCGCTTTAGTTTTTATATTTTAGGCTGATATTTTATTGCTTTAAATCTTCCTAGTTCAAAAATGGAAATTTGACATTTTGACCTCCGTGGTCACGAAGAACAAGTTTACATTTTTATTGAAATAGTGATTACTTTCGATCATTTTCAGCATATTTTCATGACACAAGAATGGCTGCGCATTCACTTTCTGTGCAAATGGCTTTTGACCCCGAATATCTCGAAAACGACCCAACGGCGGACTGATTACCACTCGGCATCGTATTCTACGCAAAATTTTACTCTGTTAGGTCTGGTTTTGTGCCCATTTGGTGGACCCCGCCCCCCCCCCCCCGCACTGAACCTCCGGTCTATTACTTGCGCAACCATAGTAAGTTGATAGTTTAAAACTGGTGTACATACCTCTACCCGATGTTGTTCATTTTGATTTACTACCCCTCGCACTTTACTGCTATCCATTTTAACTACCCATCAAGCAGATACGGAGGTGAGTTTTAGCCGTGCGCTACGGTGCGAACCCCTCACTCATTTTATGTCGTCGACACAATAATCCACTTTCGGGCTTAACCCCCAAGTATTAGATATTAAGATAGTAAAAACAATAAAACCTAACCAACCATTCGGTGTTTCAAAATTTTATAAAGTTACTTCCCGTTTTTATACGCCGATATTTTTATGAGGACGTATATTGTCGTCGCCACTGTCCCCCCGTCCGTTAGTATCTATCACCCGGAAAAAATATTCTAGGATAGGAGGTTCTGGGTGACCGAGACTATCCGTCCCTCCACAATTTGTATATTGGCTTATACAATTATTGCTTGTGGACGCTCTAGAGGCTAAAGTTAATATCCGAACGACTTTAAATTTATACACGGTGTTTAAGGTCATGAGCGAAGGATCCTATTTATTTTCAACGATTTCCGATAATTACTGCCAGAGTTATGGCCCTTGATCACTTTAAAAAATCTTGTGGCTGCTCTAGAGGCTAAATTTAATATAAATTGTTCAAGGTCATGAGACAAACAATTGAAACAAATTCTAATGATTTCTGATAGTTACTTAAAAGGTTATTACTCGTATTAAGGTTTTCATGTGCTGTAAACGTTCCCCTTATGGACAAAAGAAAAAAATATACGACAACACTTGTTGTCTGTTCGAACGACTAGGCTGTTTCGTTGCCTGGCGAAACTTGAATTATTGGTTTATCTCCCAAAGATCTCGGTTCCTTTCGACATTGGCATGTATCGGAAAGAAACTTCCTAGATTTGGCCCCTGATTGTACGAAAAATCGCGTTTATAGCTAGGGGTCCCTAGAGGTCAATTTAAAAAAAACGTTTGAATATATCACCGTTACACCATAATGATGATTGAGTTCGAATTTCGTGAAAATTGGACCGAAGCTGACAGACTAAATGGCCGCTCCATGTACGCAAATAGTGTTAAAGTATGTAATATCAAGATTGTGGACCCTCTTGATGTGACAACTTTCATCCGATTTTGATGAAACCTACAACGTTGATATCACAAAGATCTCGGTTTCTCTAGATATTTGCAAATATCGGACCTGGATTATGGCCCCTGATTGTAGGGAAAATTCACGATGGTTGTACGAAAAATCACATTTTGTTTAGCTTGTCGCTATCCATCTCTTGCAAAATGTGGGGGTATCTTGCCTGTAATTTGTAAAACTTGTTGGGGGAGCCTATTTTTGTGTATCATGAAATTTACAGATTTCCTACAACCTCATGTCCAACAAAAATTTCTCCTAATTGTCGGTATTACGTCGCCATCTCAAAATTTAAGTTATTCATAATTTTGACAAATTTTAAATTTAGGATGACGTGTTGAAAAAGCATTACTTTCCTTGTCGGTCAATCTTGCGACGCTTTGGGCGTCAGTGATTAGATAATATACCATACCCCGAGACACTGCGTGTCTCCAAATTAGAAATATATCTCAGCGTTTTAGCTACATTTTGGCATCCACTACATGATACAGTAAACAAATCTTTTGATGAGCCCCCCCCCCCCTTTTTTTTAACTCG